TATATACTAATTTTCATAAAAAAGTTATATTAATTCAATTATAATTTTTGTACCTCACATATTATATTGGTGATTGTTTAATGGTAAGATTAGATTAATTTTCCTTATTAGTAAGATTTTGTTGGTTGTTTAAATGGTAAGACAAATTAAAAAAATAAAAAAAAATTAGAATAGAAAAAACAAATTAAAGGAAAAAATTTTCACCACAATATGACACGTGTCATGTCAAGATTTGCTTATAGTATAGGGTTATAGAAAATGAATATAAAAGTGGATACTCATACATTCATAAGTGAATACTTCCCTTTTACATCATCTTTAATTTCTAAGAATATCTTAAATGTGGAAACTCAAAAATATACTAAAGAAATTGCTCAAAGTATCAAATAAAGACTAGTCATCCCAAACTTCCTACTTGCAACTTTGCAAGTGTAGGTTGGTTGGAAGTCTTGGAATTGAGCTACTTAGCTACATATAGAGAAATTGATCCCTTTTTTTTTTTTTTTTTTTTTTTTTTTTTTTTTTTTTTTTTTTTTTTTTTTTTTTTTGGGTGGAGAGGGGGGAAGGGGTGGGTTTGCTAAACCTGACTAGTTATTTAAGTGGCTAACCTTGATTTTACAAAAATAACAACAAATTTAAATAACCACTAAAGAACATAGATATTACTCAGGAAAGATTTCAGGAGTTGAACTCTATCTAAGGCAAAATTTTAGAGATTGAAACTGGTGTTGATTTCGTACTTTAGAGCGTGATATAGATATATATTTATGCAAGTTGATACAAGTTTGTATTTCAAATAATCAAATATTGATCACTTTGCCTTCACACGTTGGACATGTATATATAGAGAACATTATGAATATGTATGCACAAAGAAACAATTGTCTTATGTATACATATTTAGTATAAGTGTGTATTTCAGATTCCAAATTTTGTTTACTCTGGTTTGCTAGGCGTTATTAAAAAAGATAACAAAAGAATTAGATAATAAAATGCATAAATAATAATATGCATGCATGCATTGAGATACAATTATATCTCACATGCATGCATATAATTTGACACAAGTATGTAATTCAAATAATCAAATATTTTTACTCCGCTTTCACACGCCAAACATTAAAAAATACATATATAATATTTTTAATATGCATGCATAAAAAAACAATTGTCTCATGTATACAAATTGGTACAAGTGTGTACATTTATTTAGATACAAATCTTGTTTGATTTACACCCGCTTTACGCGCGAGACATTTAAAAAGAAAATTAAAAGATAAAAGCATGCATGCATAAAGATTAAAGATACAATTATGTCATGTGTATGTACAAGCTAAGTTGCCACAAGTATGTATTCAGGTAATCAAATATTGTGTTATTTACTTTGTTATCACACATCAAACATTTAAAGATATATAAAATCATGAATGCATGTATAGGAAACAATTGTCTTATGTCTACATATCAATAATTTTATACTAAAGGTGAAATAAAAAATGACACTTGTCATTTTGTGGTTAAAAATTTTCCCGTCTTTGTTTTCTTTCCCTTTTTTCGGATATTCTCAATGGTAACCCCCAATTATTGCTACGCACCAACGGTAACCTTTCTTTTTTTCAATTATACAAAACGACCTTAATTAAAATTTTCATCTCACTCATAACCTTATTTCATTAAATATATTAACTATGGTTAGATTTATATTAAAAAAAAAAAAAAAAAACTAAAAAATTAAACCTAACCACCAACCTTCCTCCTTCCTTTCTCTTTCCTCCATCCTTGCTCCTCCTCCATAATTTCCGGCAGCCCCTCAACCACCATACTCTGGCAACCCCTCCCCTCCTTCCTCCCTTTCCTCTTCTTCTTCCCGACGTGCGTGATCTTCTCTCCGCATCGGACCTCAAAGACCCATCATCGCCGCTCTCAGCGCCAGACCTCCGCCTACTAATCCACCATCTCGACGCCCATTCACAGCACATCAAATCCAAAGTTCAATCCTACATTCTCTCTCATCACACCCACTTCGCCGACCTCCTTTCTCTTTCCTCCTCCATTTTCTCCGACTCCCTTTCTCTCTCCTCTCCCACAACGATGATCATCGTCAGATTCCGTCGATTTTGAAGGAGATTCAATCTAGGGTTTCTGTGTTGGAAGCGACAAAGAAGAAAACATCGATTGTGAGGGTGATTGTGAGATTGAGTGGGAATTTGGGGAATGTTAAGGAGTTGATGAAAAATGGGGATTTTGTTGAAGCGGCAAAAGGGGTTAGGGATTTGAAAATGGCGTTGAGTATTGGTGATGTTGATGAGGAGAGAGAAAATAAGGAGGTTGTTGTTTATGGTTTGCTCAGGAAGCAATGGTTGCTCTGCTTTGAGGAGGTAAAATTTGTGTAATTGATTGTGGAATTGGCATTGTTTTGGGGGAATGGTGGGACTACGTTCCGGCAGGCGGGGAAGGGGAGAGGTGTTTAGGTGGGAGTGTTTCAGTCGGAATTAATGGAGGGTGAAGGGAAGTAGAGGAGGGGCTGCTAGAGTATGGTGGTTGAGGGGCTGTCGGAAATTATGGAGGAGGAGCAAGGATGGAGGAAAGAGAAAGGAAGGAGGAAGGTTGGTGGTTGGGTTAAATTTTTTATTTTTTTATAAATAAAATCTGTCAAATAAAAGGGGCATTTTTGTCATTTCGCTATTTTGGTTAACCATGGTTTAATATTATGTTAAAACACCATCATTAATGTCATCATTAGGAGAAAAAAGATAACTAAGGTCATTTCGTATAATCCAAAAAAGGGGGGGTTATCGTTGGTGCGTAGCAGTTGTAGGGGGTTACCATTGAGAATATCCCTTTTTTTTTGTCAAATTTTAATGACATCCATTTTATAACCTACAATTATACTTATTTCCATTTTGACAACGTATTTAATCCAATTATACTCAATTAATTTTTTATTTTTTTTTATACATATATTCTACTGCATATATACGAAACTTTTAGTTACAAAAATACTAACATAGATTAAAAATAAGGTATTGTAATATATTATTATCCAAGATTATTATAATACTATCAAATTTCTTTCTCCAACTTTTATCATTTGACAATAAAATTTATTTTAATTAAAAAAGAAAAATCATTTTGATAGCATACTTTGTGTTAATCTTAAAATTATATATAACTTTTATAAGAACAATCGAACAAAATCATATATATTGGAAAATTCAATCTAATTACTATAAACATTTATGTGATTATTAATAAAAAAAAAATTAAAAACCCCTACTAATCACTAAAAATATATTTAAAAAGTTGATTATAGAATACTAATTATCCTAAAGTAAAATAAATTCAACTAAATTTTTATATAATGACGATCAAAGTGTGTCAAAAAAATATAAGGGCAAATGTATATGAGTTTGTATATGGGTACTAAGCTAAGCTAATATTGTCATTCATCTATATAAAACCTTATAGCTTCCAATTTTTATTACTATTTTATACAATCCAATTCAATAACCTTTACGTATTTGGTATTAGTATAAATTAAAATTCAAGTTAATTATTTTGTTACAAATATTATTTTTGGATAAATTATTGTTGAATTAGCACCATTATTTATAATTTATTTGTTGTAAACTGTAATTATGACCGTGCATGGCACTGGACTTAACCTAGTTGGTATAAAGTGTGTATGCAAATACCTAATTTTGTTTACTCTGCTTTCACGCACCAGACATTTAAAGATACCTAATATGCATGCATATAAAGGTACAACTGTCTCGTGTATATATATACAAGGCAAGTATGTATTCAGATAATCAATTGTGATCTTGTTTACTCTACGTTCACACACATTTAATGATATAGAAGGATGAAAATATGCATGCATATAGATAAAACTCTTCCATGTATACAAATTGGCACAAGTGTGTAGTCTATCAATTTATCAACTCTTGTTTAGTCCACCTTCAATTCACACATACATTAAGCATTTAAATCAAAGATACAAATTAAATATGCATGCATAATGATACAAATATCTCATGTATGTATACATATTATTGGTACAAAAGTCTATAGTCAGATAATCAACTCTTGTTTACTTCGCCCTCATGCGCCAGACATTTAAAGACACAAAACGATACAACTATGCATGCATAAAGATACAATTGTCTCATTTTTACAGATAGATACAGATGTACATCACATATCTTTATCTTGGTTACTCCGTCGTCATACGTCATAATTGTATTTTTCAAAATATTACATTCATACAAATACTAAAATAATAGGAAACATTACAAGTGTAAAAATCATTGCATGATATGGCGTATATTCAGGAATCAGGTTTTTAAAGAAATATTAAAAAATTAATGATAATTACAACAAATAAAGCTATAAAAGCAAGAGTATACTCTCTACAAAGCACCCATCTCTTACAGTCTTGTGATTATACAGTGTTTTCTCTCAAATAATTCGAAATATTTCACATCAATTTCTTCTTCTTTTGCAGCAGTCGAGCGCTGGTGCAACAGAAACTGCAGTAAGTTCAATCTCTGTTTTCCTTTATTTTACTAGATCTACATCAAAACTCGTTGTTTTTTTTTTCTTTTTTTTAGTTTAAGCTCCATTTTAAAAATGTGATTACTATTTCTAATCTACAACATGCTTTGCAATTAGCCCAATCCAAACAACAATTTGACTAGTTCAAAGCTTGAAACAACCTTAAATTAAAACACAACCCAAACAAAAACAACACAATTAGGTTTGGCTTTTAGGTGCCAAATATAGCCACCCAATACTACTATTATGTACTTGTATGTTTTTTTTTATCGTGGACTCAAGTAGCAACTGAACAAGTCTTACAAAAGTCATCTCTTTCTCTCTCCTCTTAAAATTACTCCAATGTAAAATTTAAAAAAACGGTGTGTGTGTCGTGCATGCAAATTTCCTGAGGTTGTAATCTTAATTTCTTGCTTTTTTGTTATAAATGGGAATTTTGATTCTCGCATAATTTGATCAAATCAAACTTTAAATTATTATTGTATCACCATTATTTTTATTACCATATAATACAAAGTAGTAATAATATAAATATTAGATTAAATTTTTTTCTCGTTTGTTTGCAATTTGCATGCACACCACGCTTTCTCTCTCTTCTATAGTTCGTCTCCCTTACCCTCTTTGCTGTTACTCGCTTTCATTTCTTGGGTAATTCTTTGAATTCTCTCTCTCCTAAATTCATGAATAAACGATTATTAGATCTTTATTTTTATGATTATTTTTAATTTGACGACCCAGATTTAGTTTAATCTCGTCAAATTATTATAAATTTTTTAATTTTTTGAATTGGGTGATTATGATTGCTCAACTTTGACTCTACTTAAATGTCACTGTGAAGAGTTACTCCGATTTGTACGGTAAAGTTGATTAATTTCTTCAATTCTTCTGTTTTTAACGTTGACAAGGTTAATATTTCGAGTTTTTCGATGATTTATGTTAGTGGGTTCAATTAAATTTATCTGGGTTTTTTTGGGTTTTATTTGCATGAGATTTAATAGTGTAAAGTTGTTATTAATCTAAAAGTTTTAATCTTTAATATTGCAGATTAATTGGTGTGGAGTTTTGCTAGCTTTTTTGGGGTTTTAAAATTTAATGGGGTCAAGAATTTGCATGAACACGTCTTGTGGGGCAAATTCAACAGTCCAATGGAAGAAAGGCTGGGAATTGAAATCTGGTGAAATTGCCGATCTGTGTTTCAACTGCGGGTAACCCCATTTTGCTAATCTTTAATTTGTTTAATTCGTTAATTACTGCCGCTTTTTTGCATTGATTTGTATTGTTTTCAAGTAATTCAATTCATGCTTTCGTGTTGTGTTCGTGTTCAGTTTGTGTCGTGTCGTGTTATTACTTTGTAATTCGGATTCTGGATAAATGGCTGCTGCTGTCCTTTGCATTTTGGTTTTGAACAATTTGAATTTTGCTTGTTGATTTACGTTTGGAAATTTTTGGGTCTATCTTGCTGAGTGTTTGGCATTATCCGAATTTCGGGTTTTGTCAATTCAGAATGTATAGTTGATTGTAGTTACTGACAAAGTTCATTAGTGTGGAAATTAGATGATTGCTGCTGAGATGTGATGAACTGCTGTTTGAGGATTTTACTTTTGTTAAAGTTTTGTTAATAGTAGTAAATAAGGAGTGGAAGTGACTTTATAAATGAGTGGAGTGATAGAATTAAGCACATGTTTGTGCCAAAGTAGTAAGGTGAGTAGGGAAAGAGGAAGATAAGTCATGCTTTGGAAAGTTTATTCCTTTATATAACGTAAGAAGATCTCTTTTGTCCTTGAAAAAATTAATTGGTAAAACCTTTGCTGCTTTTCCATTGCCCCCAAGGCCCCAATAGATGATTGGTAAATTGTTTTAGCAGGAAAGGGATTTGAATTTGAAATTTCTGCATTTGTACACTGTATGATTAGTGTTGTCGCTATTACTCCGTGTCTGTTTGTTAACATATCTGGTTAATATCACTTACTATTGTTGCATGGAAATTTAAACTCATCAGATTGTTTAGGTTCGTTAGAATTAAGATATATGTGGGCTTCAGCTATCCAAAGTTTCTCCTACAGACTTGTCTTTTGTTTTGGTTCCATTAGTTCCAATTCACATGCAGGCTAACTTCCTCCTTTTAATTGTTTGCTTATGTTATGATATTTCTCTTGGGAATTGTCCTGAAAGTATGATTTGATTTGTATGTCGAACTGTTGACTATGGCATACTTAGTGTTCTAGGGTAAACCTCGACTTGTTTTTTATCTTGACGTGCATAACATGATGCATTCCAAAGTCACAATTTTGACTGTTGATACTTGATGTGTAGATCTTCCTACGAGAAATCAGTCTACTGTGATACATTCCATGCAGAGGAAACTGGTTGGAGAGAATGTAGCTTGTGCAACAAGGTATTTTCCTGTAGTTGCCCATTGTTTTGTCTTAGGTTTTCTTGCTGCAATATATTGATATGGCTTTGATTTCTCGCTACAGCGACTCCACTGTGGTTGCAGTGCTTCAGCATCACTGATTGAGGTTCAAGATTTTGGAGGTATATGGTGTATTAGCTGTGCAAAGAGTGCCTGTTGTCCTCCGGTAAGATCACTTAAATCCTAACCGAAGATTCAGATAATCCACTCTGATTAATATTGTGCCTGGCAGAATAAGTACCAAAAGTTGTTTCTGATGCGAGCTGTATATTGTTCTAGTAAAATGACACTGTCAACATCTCAGTCATGTGCCTACAATGTTATTGTGAAATTTCGGATTTTAAAGTATTTTGTTAGAAGGTCAATGTACAAGCAGAATTATACCCTGATTGTTTTCTTTAGAAATTTGGCCAAGTTTTTGCTGTCAGTAACTGGCAAAATTAGTTTTTTTTTTTTTCTTCTCTTTTCCCATTATATTCTGTATGCATGTATCAGCTGTATGTTAATTAATCATTTGGAAACAAGCAATCGAATGCATGGGTTCCTGTACTGAGTTAAGATGCTGGTTTTCCAGCCATAAGTTCTGAAGTCTTTTCCCCCTTTTTTTTTTCTGGTGAGCTGGTTGGTTGGGCTCTTGTCACCTTTTAATCATCAAATGATTTTTGGTGACTTTCAGTAGGTCATTGGAGTGAAATTCCAACCTTTTTAAAAATAAATAAATAAATAAATAAATTTTTTGAGTATAATGTACTGTCTTATAAAGATTTATTAAATTGTCTGCACTTCATATTGTTCCAAAGTAGCAAATGAATTGATGTATTTTTTTAGATCCTAGATCATTGAAACAACCTCTTTGTTACCGCAGGGGTAAGGTATACCCCTTTTCATATCCAAGGTGGGAACTTCTGGGGTGATGTGGATGTTGATGTCATATGATCATCTTGTTGGGAGGATCCTTTTGTTAGCTTAAAAAGCTTACTGTTCTTAGCTCCTACGAAGTAATAGTTAGTGAGGGATTCACATGCTCTAAGTGGGTTTATTATGATGGATATTCCGAGGATTTTAATAGAATGCTATTATTATTATTATTATTATTATTATTATTTATATAAGTGCTATAAATAAAAATTTGTTCTTCTATGTTATGCAGATCAGGAAAGATAAGTTCTCCGGTGAAGCTCAATCTTCAGAGAAGTACAGTAATGCTAATGATCTGCAGAACACTAAGCCGGAAACTAATGCCATTAGTAATGGGAATCTTTTTAGTTTGGGCAACATCATTGATACTAATATTCCTAGGTTTTTGCCTCAATCCCCCCCTGCTCTCACAAATGGACCTTTTGGGCAAATCAAACCAGAGGCCAAGAACTCCTCAATTGGAGTTGCTGGCTTGGGGTTTTCAAAATTTTCTCACTCACTTACTGGACCAACCCTTTGCGCTCCACCAAATGAAGATAAATCAAACACAGGGGCCAAGGATGTGCAAGAATCACAAATGCCATCACTGAATATAAGCTTGCGTTCGCCTTCAGAAACCTCAAACTTTGGCCTTACTTTTTCTGGTGGAGTTGAAGAAGGAGATAATAGCAGATCATCGCTCTTTCAGTCAGGGCAAAGGCCTCGGCAAATATTGCCCAAGCCTCCAAAGAACAACCTTGCTAAAGTTTCTGATGCAAATAAAAGCTCATTTTCTCCTATGCGCGTGGCAAGACCTCCTGCTGAAGGGCGTCTGCGGAACCAATTGCTTCCGCGTTACTGGCCTAGAATTACAGACCAAGAGTTGCAGAAGCTATCTGGAGAGTATCCATCATATTTTTGTCCTTCAATGTGTGCTTTCAAGTGTTTGTAATCAATTGTCTGCGTTCACACATTGCTAGGGTTGCTTCTTTTTTTTTTTCCTTTGACTTTATTTTTCTTTCTAGTTTTATTATTTTAGCCTTATTCTTCATTATTTACCTATTGTTGTATGCTGCTTATCTTAACTGCACCATCTTTTAGCTTGAACACTACAATAGTTCCGCTTTTTGAGAAGATTCTGAGTGCTAGTGATGCTAGTCGAATTGGCCGCTTGGTTCTTCCCAAAGCTTGTGCTGAAGTAAGCTTCCCATCATATTCTGTAACAATATGATTAGATTTATCAACTAGCTATAATTTCTGCAGAGAGTTTCTTGGTTTAGAGTTCTTTTTTATGCAGGCATATTTTCCTCCCATTAATCAATCAGAAGGTCTGCCCTTGAAAATTCAGGACATCAAGGGGAATGAGTGGACATTTCAGTTTAGATTTTGGCCTAACAATAATAGTAGGATGTATGTTTTGGAAGGAGTAACCCCTTGCATACAGTCTATGCAATTACAAGCCGGCGATACTGGTATGTCTTGAGCCTACCTGTTGCTTCAATCTCTATCACTTTGCTAAATGGAGTACTTAAGTTGTATACAAACTTTTGTGTTTTAATTCTTTTCTATTAAATCAACCGTTTGAGGGATAACTTTGTGCTTCCCCATGTTATCTCATGTTCCTGTTTTCATAAAGTTAAATCAAGCTTGAAGGCTAAAATTTAGTTGCAAGGACAATTTTTTTTGTTCTAGTCTTTGCGTAAAATCTTTTAAACAGTGTAGGAGATTGAGGTTTGTTAGATACTCAGATGGATTGTGAGTTGCTTGGGGCATTAAATCAACCCATCCTTTTTAATGATTTAACATCGTGTAGTTAGATGGTAATCCAATGATCATACCACGTACAGTACTAATAGAGGCTCAAAAGATTGAAAGAGAATTGCTGAAGTTTGAAACCCAAATTGGAAGTTGGAGGATTTGATACCACAAAGTAGAGGAAAAGTAGCATTTAAATTTGCTGGATAATGTTCAAATTAACTTGGCCAGCATTAAGTTATTAAAAGGTGAGAATCAAGGCTTTACTGTAACTCTTGGAAGCCTTCCTCTTACACATCATTCCTCAATTGAACTCAGAACCATACTTAAGTGATACCTATAGGTTTCACTCCTTTGTTTGCATGAAACATACAGAAAAATTGGTTTTGAATACTCCAAACCCATTCCTTGTGTATGAGGTTTTTCATTGTTTTTCATGTTGAATTATAGGATCAACCAAAAGCGTGGAGGAAACCAGGTGTGAAACTGTACTGACTCATGCAGTTCCAACCTTTGCTCACCCTTTCCACTGCTGGATTGTTCATTCCCCTTCTGTTTCCATTCTCTTATCCATATTGCCCCTCTTACTTTCCACTCCCCTTGCTTCCTCTTTCCTGACCCTCTCAATTTGTCTTCCTAAATCCAAATAATTCAATAGACCATTGTTTATGTTGCAATTGTCAGATTTTTTCTTAAGTTGAAGTTTTGACTAATATTATATGTGAAGTAGGCAAATCTTACTTGGATATCAATCCTCAACCAAATGGTAATTTGACCATGGGTTGTGCTTGCATGTGGGTAGTAGGATGTGGAGGAAGATTGAGAAGGCTGGTGGGTGTAGAAATGGTAGCCATACTTCGAGGAAAGAGAGATAGAGAAGTAGATTGGGAGCTTGAGGGAGGAGGAAGACTACGGGTAGATAGGATGTCATTGGCCTTTCAAAGTTAATTAAGATTAGTGGAAGGAGAGAGCTAGAATGAAAGGTACTGAAGGTTTTCATCCATGGAAAGAAAATGGGGGAAGGGCCGACTTTATTTGATTTTACCTATCGAAGCTTTTTAACTTCTAAGCAACCAACTAATTAAATGTTATCAAAATTAATGCAGGCATGATTTCTCACACTTAATCACCACTTTTTGAGGGTACTGTTATTCATTCTATTAGTGAGATGTAAGGAGGGGAAAAGAGAAAGAATAAGCTTATTTGTTTTATAAAAGGAGCCAGTAGTACTGTGAATCTTAAAACTCCCTTCGTTTTCAACAATTTCAATACCTGCTTTCCACAGTCCGACCATCAATTATTTTATTTCCATATCTATAAAGGTGGTAAACTGTTAAAGTTTCAAACACACGTTATTAGTCAAAGTAGATAAATTTTGACCATCAAAGGGCAAGTGCTGTTAAAACGGAGGGATTATGATTTTTTAGAGTGACTCCTCGATTACATCTTAGCCTTTTGTTTCTTAGCATTTTGACACATTTTTATTATTCCATGCTGGTCTGAAAATGTGAAGTTCATTCTGTGCTTTGTGAATTACTACGGGTATTCATGGATCAGTATGGATATTTGAGTATTCTATTTCCTTGAGCTCCGTGGTTTATCTTCTGCCAGATAACTATCTAACTCTAGTTTTGATTTCTTCTGTGTAGTTACATTTAGCAGGATTGATCCTGGAGGCAAACTTGTCATTGGATATCGTAAAGCATCAAACACTCTTGAAGTACGGGTATTTCATTCTGAATTCTGTCAAATTTTATGTGCCTAGTTATAATCATGGTGTCAGCTTATACTCTGTTCAAATACCAGAATACCCAAACATCATCAGCAAATCCTAATGGTGTTGCTCCTGGAGAAAGTTGCTACCCTGATGTGGCTGACAGCCTGTCTGCTAGAAATGACCGTAGTGGCCTGCAATCGATGGGTGGTGCCAAAGATAATCAACCAAGTGTATTGCCTGAACAGTCAAATCTGGTGAGTGGGAACACTTCTTGGGGAAAGAGTGAGAAGCTGAAGAGCAAGGAGGATGTGTTGGAGCAACCTAAACCATCTGACAAGAAAAAAATGCGAAACATTGGTTCCAAAAGCAAGAGGTTGCTAATAAATAATGAGGAAGCTATGGAGATTAGAGTTACATGGGACCAGGCACAGGACCTGCTTCGTCCACCACCAAATGCCAACCCAAGTGTCATCATTGTTGACGATTTTGAATTTGAAGAATATAGTGTAAGTTGATACGAGTATATTAGGTTATTCTTTGGAAAAACAAATTTCTTGTCTCTGTCTCATCATTATACTTGTCGTGTAACAGAGAAGCTTGTCCTCTTTAGAACTCTCTCCCCCACTTTTGTTTACTCTGGAATATTCAGCATGCTAAATTTATAGTATCTTCTTATAAAAACCCTGGGCATATGCATTTTCTTTTCTTTTCTTTTTTTTTTTTTTTTTTTATTTTTTTTATTTTGGTTTCCTCCTTTTTTTCTTGGAAGAGAAAAAAGAGGGAGAGGGGGGGGGGTATGCAAAATGTGTCCAAATTCCTTTTGTTTTTACACCAAGTACTTTTGTAATATTGGAAAATTAACATAATGTTCCTGTCTTTGACTCAATTATAAGCATGGGCCATTGTACATTACCTTATAGTTCAGGGTTACTTGCTGATTCATTTTATTTATTTATTTATTTATAGATGCGCATGATTGTGATTATCATTATTAATTTGTGTGACTTAGGAGCCCCCTGTTTTTGGGAAGAAGACATACTTTGCCACTCGACGTTCGGGGTGAGTATTATTCTGATTTTTTAATTAAAAAATTAATTCTGACAATAATTTCTGTATGTCCATTTGTGATACTGTTATGCTGCCCTGTTGAGTGTTCTCTTAGACCTATAAAATTTTATCTTCTTTTAGACTGAAATATCAAAACATTGCAATATGATTTAATTTTTGTTACACACATCATCTACATCACCCCAATGCCAGTAAAGGAGCTCCGGTGCTAGGTGGGGTAGGAAGATGGGATGTATCCGGTGCTAGGTGGGGTAGGAAGATGGGATGTATGCAGCCTTTCCCTATGATAAGACTTACAAGAGAGTTGGTTTCCAATTGACCCTCAATTTTATATGCAATAACAATTTGTTACTTCACAGAAATTAAAAGCGCAGGAAATTGAGCAAGCTATTTATCCATGAATATGATTATATGACAGTGTGCTATATTGCAGAACTCTCATAGAGAGGAATCTCTAGTATGCTTACCTTTTCATACTCTAGAATTTTGGATGCTACCAAAAACACATGCCTCATTACTTATTTCTTATGTATATTGTTGATGTTTTCTTTACTTAAGCCAAAGCATTCTCAAGTGTGAAACTCATTTTCCTTATTTTGTTAGTAATTATTCCTGAAATTGCTCTCATTATAATCTCCATTAAGGGTCAAGGATTAATGCTCTGCTTCATAACATGAATTTACTTGGAACATAATATCATTCATATTTTATACTTATTGAGTTATTGAAGATACAAAATCTCCTTTGGTTCAGAATGATTAAAATCTTATTTATTCAGGGCGCAAGAACAATGGGCTCAATGTGATAATTGTTCAAAGTGGAGGAAGCTGCCCACAGAGACTTACCTGCCATCAAGATGGACATGCTCAGAGAATTTCTGGGACTCTACCAGGTTTATGACATACATTGTATCCAGTTTATTATTAGATTTGATGGAATATTGGTGAAACGGTGTGTTTATTCTCATTTTCATTTTTATTTGCTGTTAGGTCTTTGTGTACATCACCAGAAGAGACATATCCAAAAGAACTTGATAATCTTGTCAGAGGAAGTAAAGGTTTGTCAGAGAGTTTCTTTCTATTTTCAGATTATTCCTTATTTCACCTTGATGTGCCTTTCTAGTCATTATACTACCCTGTGTAAAGATCCTATGGATAAGATGGCATTACTGAAAGATTTGCAAAGACATTTGCTAAATAATCCTCCTGGTTGAAATAAGAAGCACGCATCATACATGTACATAGATGTATTCACACATGCATACTTAGTGTGAGAGGGAGTGGGGAGGGAAGGGTTTGCATGGTTTCCCTATCTTGGATGGAATGGAAGGTTAAAATTTTTTAAATACTCTGCATTACCTAAGTTGATCTTTGATATGCTTTGGTTGGCTTCCCTTTAGGTTTTTCAAGTTATATCTTGAGTTTTGTCCTAATATGCCTTTGAGTCATATTTCCTACTGGGTGAACACAATTTCTATTTACTTGAGGTTTCTAAGATTTTATTGTCCTATTTGGTAAAGCAATTTCATTGGGTTGCCTTCGTTCAGCCTTCTAAAACTGAAAAACAATGCTAATCAGTAGGCGGCTTGCTCACTTGCTTGAGGGTATAGGACACCAGTATATGCAGTGTCTGTGGACTTTGAAAGATTGCCTGATAGATGAAACTTCTGGACATTTATGTCTTATGCTTTGAAATACACACAAGAACTTTGCCATGTCACTGTTATTTTCTTATAAGTCATCCTATATATTCTTAAAGCTCCATACCCTTGTGGTTAGAAGCAGGGTACCAGGTTAACTTAGTGACAGTAAGTGACACTTTTCTTTCCTTTTTCAGAATCCAGGAAGCGAAAAGCTGCAGAAAGCCCTGAGCAAAGATGTGAGCCTTCTGGCCTGGATGCTCTGGCTACTGCTGCCACCCTAGGAGACAGTGACGAGCCATCTGCTGGAGCTACTACGAGGCATCCTCGACACCGTCCCGGATGTACTTGCATTGTATGCATTCAACCCCCAAGTGGAAAAGGCAAGCACAAGCCTTCATGTGTATGCAATGTCTGCTTGACTGTGAAACGCCGGTTTAAAACACTAATGATGCGCAAGAAGAAGCGCCAATGTGAACGCGAGGCTGAAATGGCACAACAAAAGAGCAATGAACTGCAAGTTAAAGGACCTCAACTTCCAAAGAAAGCTGCTGCAAATGATGTAATGCTGAATAAAGATAATTTGGAGAATGAAGTTAGTCAAGAAAAAAGTCAAGAAAGAATGCAGCTAGATGAAGGCGAGAACAGTAGCAAGGGTCACATAGATTTGAATTGCCACCCTATCCGTGAGGAAGATTCAACAGCAGATGCTCAACCAAGTGTGGGCATTATGGCTCTTGCTCAAGCAGCTAGTGCTCCTGATTTGTACATGGAGCCAAATGGGCTTGCAAATCTTCTGGGCAAGCAGCCAATGGACACTGATTCTTGTTTGCTGCTAAAAACCTGTGATTATGTTGACAAATGTTTGTCAACTAAGGAGGAACATCACCCGTCAGTTGTGAAGGAGCAGGAGCACTGCAAGGCAGATGGTGTGGGTTCTTCCAAGTAGAATGACTTAGATTAGCGAAGCAATCTCATCTACTCAGCCCTCACTTAGCTACTTCTGCTTCAGCCCTGACAACATTTGGTTTGTAAATTCATCGGCTTCTGGTTCTTACAAGGCAGCGTACACCTTTAGTTTTCTAGTTGAGTCTTTATTTTAACAACATGAACTACAGTTACATAAAGAGTTAGTTAAGTCATAGCGTTTGAGTCCTTTTTTTTTTTTTTTTTTTTTTTTTTGGCATGAGTTGGAAATTTGGAAGAGTTGGACATTTCGTTACTCAAAGAGGTCAATACTGCAAGTTTTATGAGCCATCTTTGACCTCTCTGCGTAGTATCTGTCATTCTGTGTTCCAAACATTGTACTTGTATTATATAGGAATGCTGATGCAGAATGTCTCAAGTGTTTCTCAATTGTAAGGAACAATCATAAATCATGATTTAGCAGAAAATTATAATTTCGTCGATCATACTAATATGCAACTCCTGCAATTTCCTCTGTCTCATGTAGTATTTTACAAAGAAATTTGATGATAAATTCTAAGAATTTTATGATTTGTTTCAATAGGTGGTTTTTGTCAGTTTCTACCAACAAAAAAATGAAACTTTCTTAAATGATTGCTTATTGCTCAATGATAAAGGAGTAAGGCTTTGGATGCGATCGCGGAATTACTAGTTCAATGATTTCTCAAAACAGTTCTTAGATAAATTACTCTTCTATTTATCAAAAAAAAAAAATAAAAAAAAAATTACTCTTCTAAATAAAATATCTTCAACTTGATTATAATTAGCCTAACTAGGCTAATTCCCGTGTAATGCGCGGATTTTACTAAATTATATAGTGAAGTACAACATTAATTCCCGTGTAATAGATGCACGGTTGTTCAATACGGAGTGATTATAATACAACAATTATAAAACGAAATAAAAAAAATAAGAACTCGACACCAATTATTATTAGAAAGTATGAAGTATATAAATAAAAATAACCACATATAATAGTTATAATGAACAAAATAATATTTTAGAAAGTTTAGTTTAGATTTCATGTAAAGCAAATCTCATTATTTAGATACAATGATCCTTCATTATTGTAAGAATTTTTTTTTTAAAAGCAAATACTTTTGGAGGGAAAATACTCAATACAATGCTGCCAAGTGTCATTTTAGGTTCGCCTTTAGTAATATGTAATAATAGATTGTGCACAACGGAGTATATTTACACAATTTTTTGTATGCGACCTGCTGTGCCGTGCGGCAGGGGTTACTCGAGTTACTTGGTCAGGGGTTACTCAAGTTGCCGGGGTTACTCGAGTTTCTCGGTCAGGGGTTACTTGAGTTGTCGGGGTTACTCGAATTGTCAGGGTTACTCAAGTTACTCGGTCAGGGGTTACTTGAGTTACTCCTGACCGAGTAAAGTAACCCCTGACCCAGTAACCCCTCGGGTAATCCATGACCGAACCCCTCGAGTAACCCCTGACCGAATAACCCCTCAAGTAACCCCTGATTGAACCCTCAAGTAACCCCTGACCGAATTACTCGAGTAACCCCTGACCAAACTCCTTAAATAACTCCTAACCAAGTAACTCGAGTAACTCATGACTGAGTAACCCCTCGAGTAACTCCTAACTGAATAAATCGAGTAACCCTTAACTGAGTAACCCCTGACCGAGTAACCCCTCAGGTAAGCCTTCGAGTGAACCCTCGAGTAACCCCTATCCGAACCCCTCAAGTAACCCCTGACTGAATAACTCGAGTAACCCCTAACAAAATAACTCGGATAACCCCTACCACACGGTGTGGCATACTGCACCAAAAAATTGCTGGTATATTTATAGTTATATGGTAATTTTGTAAGTAAAGCAAAAGAAAATAAAAATAAATAAATAAATAAATAAATAAAAATCACGAGGAGATAATGTTATTTACGAAGAATCCTTAATTCCATTTTTAAAGTATAAGGATTGTATAAAAATAAACTGATACACTATATTTACATATTTAATTAATTTAAGAGTTAAGATATTTGTATTTTATAAAATAACATTAATATTCTTGTTCAAACACTACATTCTATTATATACTGTACGAAGCATTTTTTTTTTTTACAAAAAAAAAAAACCACTTTACTTATCAAATTTTTTCATGTTTATTATGTTAATATCAATTTTTTATGAATGTTGATTTGATAATCTATTTAATATCGTGTTGCAACTAAAACCGAACAGATAAAACAGGTACGTGCAAAATCCAAAACTTATGGATGAGAGATGGTGACCCTTGTTGATCAATGATCACTTCATAATGCGTGGCCGGTGGACTTAATGACTTATCCATCCAACCAACATCTAGTTCTAGTTTACCTTACTACAACAATCAACTCTCTTTCTTTCAACTTGCAATTAATTACCATCGTAAAAAAAAAAAAAAACAAAAAAAAAAATCTTAAAAAATTACTAACCCCTAACACACAATCAAAAATCATGGGATTACTTTGTTAGCCCGTGTTATAGCAGCTAATTTGTCGGTATTATAGGGTTATCAGTATTACAAAGATTACTCGATAAGTGTCATAAAAATTACTTTGTTATTCCCTCCGTTTTATAATAATCGCTACACTTTCCTTTTTCATCTGTTTCATAATAATTGCAATACAACCTTATTTAGTAAGGACCCACAACTAGTTTATTATTTCTCTTTTCTACCAACCCCACTTAGACCCCGTTCACTTCACCTTATATTTGCTAAACTGAAATTATTTTTACTGAACTGAAATTATTTTTTGCAGGACTTAAATTATTTTTACTGAACTGAAATTATATTTGCTGAACTTAAATTATTTTTACTAAACTGAAATTAATTTTACTGAACTGAAATTATTTTTGCTGAATTGAAATTATTACTGAGTTTCTATTATATTTCTTCTTTAAAGATACTGAATTTTACTGAACTGAACTTATTTTTACTGAACTGAAATTATTTTTACTGAATTGAACTTATTTTTACTGAACCTGAACTTATTTTTACTGAACTGAAATTATTTTTACTAAACTGAAATTATTTTTACTTACTATTTTTTTTAAGGTGAAGTGAACAGGGTCTTACACTACTTTTTTTTTTAGTATTTCTCTTTCCTACTAACAACATATATTTCCACTAACTATACCTTATAAAAGTATTAAAAAATTCTTCTTTTGGTCTCTACCCTATAATTTTCCTAAAACTTCGTGTCAGAAAAAGAATTTTATAAGTAGTTACGTGGTATGATTAATCGCACACAAGATAGGCTGATCCCATAAATATATATAGACAGAGAAAATGAATGAATGAATGAATAATAGTGATATATTTTGGTGTAATATTAGTGGTAATTAAGTCTGCGCGTCCCCCATCTTTCTCTCTCGTCCGTCCTTTTCTCTCTCTTGAATTTTCTCTCTCCTAAAATTGATTCTATCTCTATCCATGGCAATGAAACCAGATCCATCAACCTCCATTCCTAATCCCGACATTAATGCGAAGCCCCTTTCCAATGGCATTCCCAATCCCAACCCCAATCCTTTCAGAGGGCCCCACCATCGCCGTGCTCATTCCGAGCTCAGTTTCCGAATAACCGACGACATGGATCTTTCCTCGGATCCTTTCACCGGATCCTCCACCGAAGAGATCGGATCCGAGGACGACCTCTTCACCACCTACATTGACGTCGACAAGCTCGGCTCCGCTTCCGGATCTGGTTCTCATCCTTCCGACGACTTCCAACCCCATCCCGCCACTACCTCCACCGGCCTTGCCCTCGCCGATAGCAATAACAACAATCGTCCTCGCCATCGGTATAGTAACTCCGTTGATGCCACTTCATCTGCTAGCTTTGGTGAGATCATGGATGCTAAGAAAGCTATGCCTCCTGATAAACTTGCTGAGCTTTGGACCATTGACCCTAAGCGTGCTAAAAGGTTTCCATTTTTCCCTCCCTTTTTTTTCTTAACTTTTTATTTGCATTTAATTTTTATGAAGTCATGATTTTTTTTTTTTTTTTTTTTTTTTTTTGGTAATAGTATAGTAGTACTAGATCATTGTAACTTTTTTAATTTTTTTTTGAGTAATGATGTAGACTTTGCTAGTTTAACTAGCTTATATACCCAATTATAGTATAAAAGATTAAAGGGGTTGCATGATTCTTTCATTTTGCCTTTGATGTTGACTGATTTTTATCTTTTTTGGGTCATTCTAGATCTTGTGTAATGTGAATTATGTAATGTGGTTTTATTGCATTATTATTATATCTGATTAATTGTACAAAGGATTTGTTTTTGATAAACGAAGTATTATTGGTTTTAAGATGGAAATCATACAAGTTTCAGCTTGTTACATTTTCTTTGATTTATAGAAATCTGTTTTTGATTACCCTTTACATTGTGTTTAATTTATAGACATTGGTTTCGAGTATATTCCTGTACAGATCATCGAAAATTAGTTTTAATAGGTAAGTTAACAGCTAAATTCAATTTCAATTAGTTAAAGTTAGTTTTAAACTTTGTCAAAATCAGTTGAGAGGATTAAAAATAAGTTGAAGAGAGTAAGACCTTTATCGTGGTCATTTGTATGTTTGTGGCTAGCTTTGTTTCTTGTTTACTTTTCCGATTGGTAGATTGATTTTTAGTGACATCATTATCGATGGTTTTGGAGGTATCACTGTTACATTGTATTGCAAAGTAATGAGATGAGACCTCATTGTTTCATGAGAATTTAATCTGCTGTGGCTTTTTTTGTTGTTAGTGTTTATTATATCCAATCATTGCTATTTGCTCCCTTTAGAGAGTATGTTTGCTTTATAATCATATTACTTTTGGAAAATTAGGGTCCTTAATTGGTGGTTATTATGTTGCTTTCCTTATTTAGTGTACTTGTGCCTCACAATGGTTTACTTGTTGCTGCAGGATTTTGGCAAATCGGCAGTCTGCTGCACGCTCTAAAGAGAGGAAAGCTCGATACATATTGGAGTTGGAGCGGAAAGTACAGACTCTTCAAACTGAAGCAACCACTCTTTCTGCACAACTCACCCTGTATCAGGTATTTTTGCTAATCTCACACCATTGGTAACTTCTAAGATCTGCTCTTTGATTTAGATCCACCTGTTTTTTTAATTTAGATTTTAGATACAAGGTTTTAGAATCCTGGAAATTAAAGGCACTTTTAGGATTCCCCCTTTTCCCTTGTGTGAAGTTCTTGTGCTTACGTTTCTATGAATTTATTGTTTAGAGGGACACAACTGGTTTGACATCTGAAAACACAGAACTCAAGCTTCGGTTACAAGCCATGGAGCAACAAGCTCAGTTGCGAGATGGTGAGTCTCATGCCCTGTTCAACATTAAACATGGATGGGATCAAAATCTAGGTTTGAACAGCTGATTTAGTTTGGAACTTTTGCTAACGAACAAATTCAAGTTTATTACTATCAAATTATCTTGATTTCTTTTTTCAAGTCAAAAACTATCTCACTAAATACACTGAACTTGATTGGCTTGACAGGTCTTCTTTTTGAATTTTGTTGGTGTATAAATCTTTAAAATCTGCACTTGTCTGTTTATTTTTTTCAGCACTCAATGAAGCATTAAAGCAGGAAGTGGAGAGGCTTAGAATGGCCACAGGCGAAATGATGGGTCCTTCAGAATCATTTAACTTAGGGATGCCTAGCATGCAATACAATCCTTCTGCATTTTACTCGCTACCTCAGCAACATGTTTCCCAAGGCCAACATAGTATGCAAATGCCATCATTTCATCAAACTCAGGGAAATAATAATAACATGCACCATATGCATTCATCCAATTCCCAAAATCCTTCAGAATTTATGCCGAATGATCCCCTGGGAAGATTACAAGGGCTTGACATTGGCAGCAGAGGAACACCCGCTGTGAAATCTGAAGGTGCCTCGATGTCTGCCAGTGAAAGTAGCACAACATTTTGACGTGCGCTCAAGTTGCTGACTAGCTGACTTCTTCAGAAAGTGTGTGTTTGGTAGATTGTCTATAAACTGACATCATTCAATTAGATAAGGTACTATTGATTTGTTCCATTATTTATTCTATTCGTATCCTTTTCTCTGGGATCACGTCTATTTAAATTGGTCTCAAGGATGATCCCCAAAGAGGGGGTCGTTGTAGGTTACTGAGTTGCTTCATCTTCCTCCCGATTTTTTAGTTCTGCTGTGAAATGTTGTAGCATGTGCGACTGAAAGGTCATTCGGCATGCCAGGAAAGGCTTCTGTATTTTTTTTTTTTTCTTGTAACTTTTTTGTGTACTCAAAACCTGTATTATTCTTCTCAATCCAACTTTTTTTATTGTAGCTTTCTTACACTTGTTAATGATGAAGCTAATTTGAAAGGTGGGCAATCATGGTTGTTAGGCTAGGACCCAATGTTCTGTTGGGATCAAGTTTTTTTTTTTTTTTTTTTAAATTTCCTATGATGACTCGCGCTATTTACTGTTAGCACTTCAGCATGCCAATGTCACCTCAGCTGCATGGCTGCTACTATTGCAGCATCATCATTAGTCTTTTGAATTTTTCGGTGGAGGCAAGATGAGCATCTAAACAAGGTCAATAGCGTTGTCCTTTTAAAACAAATTAAGTAGCAAATCAATTGAACATAAAAATAGTCTCTCTAAAATAGGCTTTTGTCTTGAGAAGGTAGGATTTTCAATTTATACAAATTTGCAATTTTCATACACATCATAAAGGTTGATAAATGAAAAGGAATACCAAAAAGTCGAAAATTAAAATTATAAATGGGGATATGAAACTATAGGTTAAGATCACTATGTTTTTCAAAAGTACTTAGGTACTCACTTGGATCTTGAAAAAGTTGAGTTATTAAGACTTGAGAGAGCAATGCTTGCCAAAAAAGAGAGCAATGAATGTGTGTACATGTGAGAGCATTTACACTCATGAGGAGGAACTAATTAGGAGATGTATCCTCACGTGGGGATTTTATGAGATTAGGAAAATTGGATTTTTCTCATTAAATTAACTCATATGCTATTGTCAATTCAAATTGTGACACGTGGTTATTGCTCTAATAAATCAAGCAACGACTAATTCTTAATGACGTTTTAATTTTTTACTTATTTTCAAAGAAATTATTGTATAAAATATCTTAATGAATGAAATTAGTTAATTATCAATGTTCATTATGATTACAGATCTATATAAAGACATCTATTTTGATATATATTCACATAATTTTCAATATTTTTCTAATACTTCTTCCTCCGTTTCTTTATAGTTACAACACTTCCCTCAAATGGAAATGTCACAATAGTTGCAATACACTATAAAAGGAAGGTTTTTATGGTGAAAATTGTACAAGTACTTTTATTTAAACCTCATGGCCTACTTGATTATACTCCTAACAACCTCTTAACCCTACTTTAAGTGTATTATATCATGTGAGGTCTACTTTTATTAAATACCGTGATAAAGTGTGTGTTGTAGCTATAAAGAAACGGATGAAGTACAATTTTAAACTAAGAGCACATTGATTAATATGTCATCAACAATGCTACAGAATAATTTGTCACAAGTTGCATCTAAAAATAACTTCTTCTTTTTTGACATTTATATGATTTAGTGTATTTATTAATTGTCGCTAGTTTTTTACAAAGTAAGATTTTATGAAATAAACGTATATTAAAAACAAATAATGCATGGGATGGTTAATTATTTCCTCCGTTTCTCAATTAATACATCTCTTTTCTTTTTGGGATACTTCACAAATCACAATAGGTGCATCCATTCTCTTATTAATAAAAATGCACGTATATTTTATGAAAGAATTTAGTACTTTTATTAAAAATAAAAATCAAAAAGAAAAATCCACTGATAAGGCGAGATCTATTTGATAATAGGAAGTAGAAAGAGTGAGAACTATTTACAATCACAACCTCTTAACTTCCAAAGAATCAAATTGAACCCATAATCTCCTATGCAAGGCAAGGACATTCAAATGTCATTAAGTAGAAGATATGGTAATCAGACCACTCTCACTCATGGAAAAAAAAATAAAAAAATGTCATTCTCTCTCTACCCATTTTCTCACTCCTCTTTCCCACTTTTCCTTAAGGACATTTTATTTTAACAACTCCTCACACACTCATACTCATGAGCTAAAAAAAAAGAAAAAAAAAACCACATCACTATCTCTCCTACATTTTCTCTCTCATACACTATCTAATTTTCTGATTTAAGAGTTAGGGCCCACGAGTACTGTAGCGATTTATTTTCGCCACTCCCATGGGCATTTGACAATCTCCCCATTTTTTTTTTTTTTTTTTCTCGTGAGTGGGATGCCATTTTTACCTTAATATTCTCCTTATGGGCAATTTGTTTGCCCACGAGTGAGAGTGCTCTAAAAGATTGTACTCCGTATGTTGACATCAATGCATTATGTCTGGTTAAATTGTTGCTAATTGTTACAAGTTGTAGTGCCTTATTTTAAAGAAACTAATAGGACAACGATTAATAAGAACTAGAGACTTCCCGAGCCATGCTCGGTTTTTAAAAATATGATAATTGAAATTCAAATGTAGAAGTCTCTAAGAAAAGTTAATCATAACAATAAATAATTAAAGCATGAAGTTCCTAGGTAAATTCATTATTCTATTAAAAAAAAAAAGTTTAAGAGGGAAAATTCCTTCAAAAAAGATTTTGCTTTAGTATTGGTATATAGATGGTGTGTAAGATAATAAACTCAGGATATAAGCATCTCTAATATCTCTAGTTATTTTATTGTGCAACCATACATAATCAAAGGTGGAGAAGACAATTGATGAAATTGCCTTCCAAAGATAACTATTTGATCTAAATCCGTTGGTTTCTAACCAGTTTCAATTATGTTTATTTAAATTTTTTGCTCTTCCCTATCAACCAGTGCCATAAGCCCATAAGGTACTTTGTTAGTTAGTAAATTATCCTAGCAAATTTTTATTACGAAGTATATATTATATTTTATTCGTATAAATATTGTAGTAAACTCAAAAACATTGACTTTTCAACATTGTGAATTTGTAGTTCATGTTTTTAAACTCACACTTAAATCTTAATAACCCTAAGGCGCATTTAACTAATTTAAGTTAGCACACAATGACCTAACTGTTAACTCGCCTTTAATTTGGTCCCAAATGTTTATTAGCCATGCATAACTTACTTATTTTATTTTTTTGGGTGTTCCACCCGTTTCACCCTTTGGGCTGATCCGGATTCGAGGATCAGTTATGGGTGGTTAGGTTCCAGTCTCCACAAATTTAACTTATGTCACACAAATCGATGCATTTCTTGACATTTTATTTTTATTTTATTCTTTTTTTTTATTTTTTTTTTTAAATTTTAACCTCAAATTTGACTCTTAAGGATTAAAATGACCACATCAGATCAGATCATTAAAACTAAACATAGTCTAACAAAACCAATCTAACGCCAAATTAACAATAAAGTCACTGTATGCTTACTTAAATAAGTTGAATTTTCCGAGATTTATTGTGTGTAAATTTTTTAAACATGGGTTAAGGCATACAAAAATCAATACAAAAAAAAAGATTATGCATGATTAAGTACATACGCATGTGTCAATCGACGTTATGTTAAGCTAACCTTTATACACACTGGCCTTTTTTTATTATTATTAATTAATAAAATACCTATAGTTTATAACTAATACTAAAGTAGCAACTGCTGATGACATCTTCCAGAGCTGTACACATGACGTTACCTCATGAAAAAATTTCCCGCTCAAATGTTAAGCACATCTATCTATATACATAAACTATATTCGAGTTTTTTTAAGGGAATTTTCCCTCCTAAACTCTTTTTTTTTTTTAGATTTTTCCAGAATTATTAATGCGTCTAAAAACTTTATACTTTAATTATTTATGTAATACCCCGTATTTTTGAAACGTATTTTATAATTAATTAAACAATTATTATTTTCTAAAAAGGGTATTTTAGTGTTACTATTTGAATTTTGTAGCCAAAATGATATTTGAATTTTGGCGCCAAAAGTATTTTAAACTTAATTATTATTTTTGGATTTTGGATAAGATTCATTATCCACTTATTTTATTTTAAAATCAAATATATATATATATATATATATATATATATATATATATATATATAATTTGGCTATTTTAATTAAACAAATTATATTTTCTTATTTATTTAATTAAGACCGAATTTCCTAATTAATTAGCTAGGAATTTTTGGGTTTTCTTAGTGAAGAAAATCTGATTTTTCTTAGTTAATTTAATTGGTGAATAATGGGTATTTTTTAATTAATTATTTTATACAAAATATATTATTTACATAATCATTTTTAAACCCTTAAATCTAGCAAAATAATTTCCTAACTTCTACATAAGGGGTCTAAAAATTTGAACTATGGAAGCTCAAAATTTTCGGCCACCTTGGTTGGATTTTGGGGTGATTTATTTTGGTAATTTGTATTTTTAACTATCTCCCTTAAATCTATTATTTTTCCTTAATTCTTATTTCTCATCTCCTAAATATTTTATCATCTTATTTCCCTACCTTATTTCATCCTTGATTATTCCCCAAGCAAAGCTATTTGCTATATTATTTTTCATGACAACATACTTTTTATAAATTAATTATTTCTTAGTCACCTTGACATTAAACTTTCCATAATTCTTTAGCTCTCTTCTCCAAGTAATTTCCTTAATTCTTCCTACATTCTCCTACCATAATTCTTGCATGAGCTAGCCTATAAATACCCCTTGATTCATAGCTAAACACTCAGACCAAAACTCTCTAATTCTCTCTTAATTCACTCTAATTCTCTTCTCTTTTTCTCATCTTTTCTTACGCTAACCACCACCTGTCACCACCCTTCACCATCAGCCACCACCTCCGATGCCGACCACCGGCAGCAGACACCTGCCGGCATGTTGCTGCCCTCCTTGCCGCCACTCCTTCTTCCTCTTTTCCTTGGTTTTCTACCTTTTCTTCTTATCTTCTCTTATTTAATTAATTATTATTATTATTATGGGGGACTTATAAAAATTATTATGAGTAGTTTTAATTAAATAAAATCAGATTTTTATTCAAGTTTATGAAAAATAATTTATAAGGTTCATGTATATATAGTTGGGGATTTTATTTTAATTGTTGTGATTATTTGTTAGCCTTATATTAATTAAGGTTATATTTATTTGTAGGGTGTGTTTGATCAAAGTTCTTGAAGTCCCTTTTTGTGTTGCTAACAAGGATCAAAGGTACGTTTAGGTGGCTAGATACCTTTGAAATTGACTGGATTGAATAAGCATGTTTGTATATTTTTATGGTGATTGAATTAAATTGAATTGAATTATGATTTATGAAATAAAAGCATGTTTAAAGAATTGATTTTGATATATAAATTGAGGGTTGATTTTTATATCATGTTTTGAATGATTAAATTATCGGATTTATCACCATATATCACTGAGTTTTAACTTAATTCACCATATACCACCAAAAAATTTCTAATACACCATATACTACTAAGTTTAACATAAATGTCACAACATGCCCTTAATGACTAACGCTGTTAACTCCGTTAGTAATTAAGGTTAATTGTGCCACGTGGCTGTCACTTATTGGCTCTTATTAATATTATTTAATTAATTACATAAATAAAGAATTAAAAAACTTTCAAAAAATTAAATAAATAAATAAATAAAAACTACCACCAACCTAGCCACCGCTGCCCCCCAACCCAGCCCTGGTAGGCGCCTAGGTGGTCGGCGTCCATCACCCTTCCCCTGCCGGCGACAACCCCCGCCCCCAACCTTCTCCTTTCCCCAATTTCCACAACCCCACCACCAGTTTACCTCCCAACCACCCTCTCACCTACCAGCAGAGCCTTCCCCACCCCGACAATCGGCCATACCGGCCCTCCATCGCTGGCCGACCCACCCCCTACCTTTAATCCTTACCTCGACCTTCTCCCTTCCCCCATCGTGCCACCAGTCAATCCCTAATCCACGAAATCACTCCTTAGCTCTAACAAAAAACCCAATTTTTTGTACTTTTCACTCCTCCACCCTGGTCGATTCTTCTCGTGGGTGGGTTTTGGTGTGGTTGAAAGGGTTTCGGGGGTTGTAGGTAGATTTTCGGGAGTAGTAGTTGGTTTTAGAGGTTGGTGGGTGGTTTTCAATTGTTGTGGTGGGGGTCGTGGATGGATTTTCGGGAGTGGTGGTGGTTTTCAAGGGTCGTGGCTAGGGTGAGGGGCGGCGCCGACGCAGGGGAAGGGAGTTTGGGCGTCGACGGCAGGGTGGAAGGCAAGCTGGGGGCGGTGTGGGGGGCGGGGAGGATGGCTGACTGGCAAGGCTTGGGGTGGCGGAATTTATTTATTTATTTTTTAGTTTTTTAAATATTTTTTAATTAATTAATTAATTTAAATAAGAATCCCTCAAATGCTGCCACATGTCACAATTAACGTTAATAACTAACAGAAAATGGTATCTCGTGACATTTATATTAAACTCAGTGGTACATGGTGAATTAGAAAGTTTTTGGTGGTATACGGTGAATTAAGTTAAAACTCAGTGGTATATGGTGAAAAAAAACCGTTAAATTATTTATCATGTTTAAAAAGGTTCGATTTTGAAAACATGTGAAATTAAATAAAAAGAAGTTTGAATTGTTATTATAAAGATTGGAGTTATTGAATGAAAAGGATTTATTGATTTATTATTATCAAAGCTTTACAAGTATGTTGGTAGTAATCCCACTATGTGGATTTGGTTGATAAGACTTTGGACTTTGTATGACCGAGTCTTTCCTCAAGAATAACCTTGCAATATAAGGAGACTAGCTTGGGGGGTGTGCACACTTGGGTGAGGAATTGGATTTACAAAGAAGAATTGGTTTTATTAATTAAGTATTTGAAATATTGGATTATTGGAATTGGTTTTGGGATAATGAGTTTGGAATTATTGGATTAATTATTGGAGTTGGTTTAAAAAAAAGCATGTTTGCAAATAAATTGAGTTTACTTATCTTGCAATTATCGTACTTAGCATATTTTGCTAATCCGTATTTCCTATTTGTTTTGGTTCGCCTTGCTTACCATAAGCAGTGTTGACTATTTTCAGGTAGAGTCTATAATTGAGCATATGGGAGTTCAAGATGTTCTTCACCTAGTTTAGGATATCTTGAGTATTCATAACATTGGTTACTATTTTTATTAAGTATTAATAAAGAGAGAGTTTGAATTTCCGCTACAAAGTTGTAGTGTCAATTTAAAATTTGAATAGCCTTGCGTAATTACGCTACGGTAATACGTATAAGTCTATCTCTTTAACACGATCTTTTGATTAACACGATTACATGAGGAAAAAAAATTGTTCCATGAAATAAGGGTACGCTGCAGCCAGGCAGCGCAAATTAGGAACCCTCTATTTGAAGAAAACAAAATCCTGTCTAGCGGCGGCGAACGACAGTGTGCGAGAACATCTCAACCTCATTCATTCTCCATTTCCGAAACTATCGCCGCCGAAATGACGGTCGGAGGTGTGACATTCTCGTCGGATAATCTTGTTAAGAAGTCGCCCAATGACAGGCGTTTATACAGATACCTTCGACTTCATAATGGTCTTTGTGCTTTGCTTGTTCATGATCCTGAGATTTATTCTACTCCTGATGTTGATGATAATGGTGATGGTTCTGAGGAGGATGACGATGATGACGACGAGGAGGATGATGATGATGAAGATTACGACGACGATGAGGAAGATGATGAAGAAGATGATGAAGAAGAAGATGAGGATGATGATGAAAGTAGGAAGGAAAAGGGGAAGAAAGCTGCTTCTCAAACTAAAAAGGTTTTAATTTGATTTAATTGAATTGGGTTTTGAATTTGTTAAATGTGGATTGAATTGGGTTTTGAATTAGTTAAATGTGGATTGAATTGGGTTTTAAATTGGGTTTTAATTTGTTAAATGGGGATGGTTTATTTTGTGGAAATTGATGTTGCAGGCTGCAGCAGCAGTTTGTGTTGGGATGGGGAGCTTCTCTGATCCCTATGAAGCACAGGGTCTTGCTCATTTTTTAGGTATGAACTACTCCTATAAAATATTGCTGTAATTTTTATGGTTTTCCTGTTGAATTTGATTGGTTGGTTGGTTTGTTTATATTTGTTCGTAGAGCACATGCTGTTCATGGGTAGTGCTGAGTTTCCGGATGAAAATGAGGTATGCAAGGCCATGTGTGTTTTTGCTTAAACTTTTTGGTTTTACGACTTGTACTGGTGTTGTCGATAGCTTGTAATTCTGTTGCTGATTTATGCCTTGTGCTTGTTGTTTAAGGCACTATAGTTTAGTGACTTTGTTGTTCGATCATCTTCTAATTGCTTACTAGTTTCTGCTGGTATATCATCAGCAACCATCCAATAGTAATTTCGTTGGAGGAGGGATTGGGGAGGCCTGTGTTTAGATTGTATGGAAGATACGTTTTCTCAGTCCACTAAAAGTACGTAGTATTATAGTTCCAAGACTTCAAAATTACAAAATCAATTTATTTGACCAATTAAGCCTAAGTGACTTACTGAACTCACTCATTCTCCTTCTGTACTTCCCGAAACTTTCTTTGTGTTCCACTTGTCAGGTTTCGGCAAAGGACAATTTTACATTTATGTACAAACCATTGAAGCTGATTTTTAACTGGTAACTGAAAAAAATTATAGGGGAGTTTGGATTTTGGAATTCCTAATCAACATCAATAATATCTTTGCAGTCTCATTGATGTCTGCAGCTCATGGTTGCTGACAGTAGACTTGATAAATGAGAACTTGCTGACCAGCTACGTTGCCTTCCCAGCTTGGCATTATTGTTGTCTTCCCAACTAGGCATTATCGCTGCCTTCCCAACTTGGCATTACACTCTGAAATGGTGTATTGGAAATAGATAGAATGATGGGTGTTTTTAGGAACAAGGGACATGGGGATTGTGGGTATGTTTCTTGCTATATAAGGATCCCAAAGCTTCTCATTTCAGCTTAGTATATGCTAGTTAAATGGTTGATAAAAACTTATAATACATTGATTTTGTGTATATCCGTACACTTTTTTGTGTCATCATTCCCAGATGGACAATCACATTGTTGCCTCATGATATACATATATGTTTAAAGTTATGCTCTACTGGAGGTTATCCATTCTTTTCCTATTTTTTTTATTAAGCAAACAAATCTTCCCTTGTGTTTAAAATCTTGCTGCCTTTGCATTGACTTTTCCTGCCTTAGTATGATAGTTACTTGTCCAAGCACGGGGGTTCATCAAATGCATACACAGAGGCAGAGCATACTTGCTATCATTTTGATGTCAAGCGAGAGTTTCTCAAAGATGCCTTGAGAAGGTTAGAACCCTTTGCTCTCTTATATTCCTCATTGCTGCTTTAAGTCAGCTAATTATAATTCACACTGCCGCTGAAAGTTATGGGTTTAATATTCAATAAATAAATGCTGTTTGATTAATTAATTCATTGTGCATGCTTGCATTGCTCAATTTATTGTATGCAAGTCTAGTGAAGATTATGGAAAAAAGGTCTAGCTGTGCTTATGTATCTGACTGCTTATTAGGGTTTAGGCCATTAGTGACACTTTGGTACCTTATTATAAATGAGCAGAATTTATTTGATGGTATCAAAGAGGGTTTACTCCTTTGTATTCTATGCATATGGATAGGAATGCAAGTATGTCTGCATGTTTGATTTTGTACAAAAGAGGGCAATTTTAGGAGAGCAAATAAACTTGCAATTATTTATCTTTGTATTCAAGATGTGTTGGTATCCAATTGTCTAACAAGAGACACTTTGGGGTCACTATGAGAGTGTCTGTGGTACTGATACCTAGTTGATCCCTACACAAGAAATTAGGGTTGTAGAATTTTATTCCTTTTTCTGCTAACAACACAAAGTGACAATTTTCCCAATGTACACATACACCTCATTTAGTAACTAATGTAGAGGTGGTTTGGTAGAGCCATATAAATATGACTTTTAGAATATAAGTGTAAAGCTCAACCTATAAATGTTATTTTTGCGACATATGTTTGGGACATATACAATTATACACGGGTACAAAGGATCAGTTTTGTTTATTTCCTCTCCAAACTCGATCTTCTTCCTGTCCATATAGACAGTCAGTTGCCAACAGAAATATTTGAATAAAAGACTTAGCGTCATTGTGGCAAAGATAAAAAAAAATGGTAATACATTGGTTGATTTTGTTAATTGATTGACTTTATAATTATTTTTTTTCTAGCTTTACTTGTTTGATTGATTTCATCATCCTTCTTTCATGGTTCATATAGTGACTTACTTCAACTCTTTATTTTGTCTTACATACCTTAATGACTTTAACTTGGTATTGACCTCGTACATTACCCTTTCATTATCAGTTTGACATTTTCCATCAACAACATATTCGTAAAGGAAACTTGTAATTTGAGAGGGAAAGAGAAGCAGCAGTTTTGCAATGTATGCTCACAAATGCGCTTGAGATAAGAATTTTAATTTTAATTAGAATTAGCAGACAAGTCTATGTATGTGTTAAAAACATATGTAGCAAGTCTTTTGAGGCCCGTTTAGTATCATTTCTAGTTTTCAGTTTTTTGGTTTTTACATTGTAAGAGTCATATAATATGAATTGTATTTTTAACTTAATATTAGTCCTACTTATACATTTATACTAATCATCTAAATTTTGAAAACCGACAACAAAAATGTGGAAACTACTTTTTTTTGGTTTCCAAATTATTATTATTTTTTTATTTTTTTGCCTATATATGTGTCTAAAAGCCACGGGGATAACAAACAAGAAATCAAAAGCGATAACAAACAAGCCGCCTTTAATTTTGGATTATGTTTAAAAGCCACAGGGATATTAGAACAGTGTCCCCACGTCTGAAATTTTTAGCCTATATATGTGTCTACTTGCCTATACTATACCTGTACTTACTCCCATTATGTCTAAGTGAGCAACATAGAGTTTCTCTATTACTTATGAAAAAGATTCAGCTCTTTCTTATGTTTTAAAAGTAGTTAACTGCTAGCCTCTGGAGATTCCAAAAAAAAAAAAAAAAAAAAAAAAAACTGCTAGCCTCTGGGATATTCTTATTTGAAAGAAAGTGATAATGTTTGCAGTATGTTATTTCTTTTGCCATGTGGGTCCTGTCTTTTTTTTCTTTTTCTTTTTTTTTTCCAGTTAGTGTTCGTTGAGCTGGATAATTAGATTTTCTAATACTACTGCTAAATGATTGCGATTCTTGAATGATAATATCTTGATTAGCTATTTGATTCTTGCAGTAACTCTTCTTTTGTATTCTAGATTTTCTCAGTTCTACATCTCACCTTTAGTGAAAAATGAAGCCATGGAGCGAGAGGTACTGGCAGTTGATTCAGGTAAATTAATGATTTGCCATCGTTTCAAGATATTGCAGAGTTTCTTATTTTTCTTTCTATATTCATTCTCTGTGCTGCTATCACAATTTTCTTTCTTGTATTTTTTATTTAGAGTTTAACCAAGCTTTGCAAAGTGATACTTGTCGTCTTCAACAACTCCAGTGCCATACTTCTGTGCCGGGTCATCCTTTTAACAGGTTCTTCTGGGGTTAGTTTTTTATTCTCCCTTGCCTGTGTCTTCCTTGTCTGTGTTCCTTTCTTTTTAGTTGACATAGGTTTTATTTATTTATTTATTTTTTTTATTTGAGAACAGGGAACAAGAAGAGTTTGTATGATGCCATGGAAAAAGGGATTGATTTGCGACAAAGGATTATGAAGATGTATGAAGATAACTACTGTGGTGAAATTATGAAATTAGTCATCATTGGTGGAGGTAAAGCTTTTGCTTTTTCTCTCATGTAAATTATGTTTAGGTCTCCTGTAAAAGCTGTAATAAAACTGAATTAGCGTTAGGAAAAACAGAGAAACAGTGCTGCTGGTTGTCAGTTGTACTGTAGTGTTTAGTGCAGTATACAGTTATAGAGGAGAAAATTACAGGTACATCAAAGATGTATATTCTTCAGACCGTCACCAGAGGTCTTTGATTTTGGTTTATGGTACTTCATTGACCCCTAAATTTTTCATCTGATATGTTCTGTAGTCCTTTTGTCCATTCTAATGGAAGGAGAAGGTAAACAGGACCTAAGACATTTTGGATTTACCCCCATCATCGCCACTGTTAATTTTCTTAGGTTGTCAACCTTCTTCACAAATAGTTTATGTATCATGATTACACTATTTTAAAATGTAGAACAAAAGGGGAAAGGTTGTAATAAAACATTAGTGGTTCTTTCAAAATTAGCAACCATGTTGGTGCATAATTATTTATAAAGTACAAAATCATTAAATGATACATGGTGCAATTCCAACTCTTGACATATCCTTGGTGCAATACAATAAGGTTACCTCATGGATTGTCCTTATTTAATATTGAGAGAATAAAAAAATATGTTTTTGAAAAATTGGAACAATTATAAGAGAACATCCATTCAAGTATATCAATGTACAACTTCACCTTTGAATTAATTGTTTATCTCCAACCCTGTTATGGCTGTCTAGTCTTAATCTTGTAGAAAATTGAGGTTATATGACTTATATCTAGGCTTTAAATATTAGGGTAATATACTGCTATAGCCTTATACCCTTATAAGGGTTAGTCTTGAGTTCTCTTTCCTTGAAGAGTGCCTCTCTTGCATAGGGAGTTACTCGAACAGTCTTTTGCTTACCTAATAGACAATTTAGGGGTAATCTGCGGCATTTTCTTTGGGATCTGGTAATTAAGAGTGCTTCTTGGAAAATTGATGTGTGGAGAAGAGGTTTTTTATTTTTTTATTTTTTATTTGTGCTGTGGGGTCATCTAACCTTTCTGTCTTGTCTATCTGTCCTATGCTGAACTTTATCTTTTTTAGTACTTCACCACCCTTTTAAGGTGATTTCTTTCTAAATCAGGTTTCGTGTGACATAATGATTGGTGGACTATGCTGTGTAGCTAATTGTCTGTATTAGCATCGCCTTCTTTTTTTTAAACCCTTGATAAGGGATAATAGGCAGATAATTCATACTCCGTAGGTGTTGTAGCAAGAAATTAAGGATATATGGGTGTATTCTCTCTCTCTTTAATTAACTATGCTTCTTTCCAATGTTGCAGAGTCGCTTGATGTACTGCAGAGTTGGGTCCTTGAATTGTTTAGTAACGTGAAGAAAGGCCCTTCCTCTGGACTGGAGATTAATCATGAAGGCCCTATCTGGAATGCTGGCAAGCTATACAGACTGGAGGCTGTTAAAGATGTTCACATCCTTGAGTTATCATGGAAACTGCCATGTCTTCGCAAAGACTATCTGAAGAAATCTGAAGATTACTTGGCTCATCTAATAGGACATGGTAAGGATTTGATGTGTTATACTTTTGACTGATTATTGTGATAAGAAAATGATTTGATTTTTTTGGTTGAACAAGTCTCTGAGCTCAAATTGCTCAGCTTGTGAAAGTTGAGATTTGTGTTGACACATTTGTTAAAAGAATTTTGCTGGTATAAACATTTTATAGATCTTTTAAATCAAGATTACATCAACTCTTTTCTCCTGTTATGAAGATTATTAATTTCAGCTCTTTGTTGCTTTTTTGTCGCTTTTGGCAAATTTTCCAACTGTCTTTCTAGGAAATATGCCAGTTCCCCTTTCTTTCCTCGTTTTCTAGTTGCAGATGAAGAGTATAAATGACTTGTTTAATCGATCCATTTATTAGACAAGGAATTCAGTTATTTATGTCTTATTTTGTTACAGAGGGTAGTGGAAGCTTGCATTTCTTTTTGAAGAGTAAAGGATGGATAACATCCATATCAGCTGGTGTAGGAGATGATGGAATGCAACGATCTTCTCTAGCCTATATATTTGGCATGTCTATATACCTTACTGACTCTGGATTGGATAAGGTTCTGTTTTTTCTTTGCAAGTTTTAACCTTTGTCTTTGTTATGTTCTGCCCTCATGTTATCATTGGTCTTGCCATTTTCTGATGTTTCCCCTTTTTCTTCTTACTTTGCATGGCAATATCAAATTAGCAGATCTATGAGATTATTGGATTTGTATATCAATACCTCAAACTACTGCGCCAAGCTCCTCCTGAAGATTGGATATTTAAGGAACTCCAGGATATTGGAAATATGGAATTTATATTTGCTGAGGAACAGCCTCAAGATGATTATGCTGCTGAACTTGCAGGTTTCGCTACTGGCAATTTTATCTTCTAATTGCTATTTATGTTTGATTTTGTATTGTAAATGTTTTTGAAGGTGTCTTTCCTTTAATCCTCCAATTTAAGAATTTACTGTCTCAACATTTGAATCCATATTTGAGGCCTACACCTTTATGTCTGTATCCATGAATCATAGACATTTTGTTTCGAGCATTCCGACAATTTTATTTATTTATTTAATTTTATTTTTTGAAAATTTTGGTTTAGGTAAGTTGAAATGTACTCCCCTGGCATTTTGGAAAGATTTTTTTTTTATATAAATAAAGTGGTTTTTTTTTTTTTTTTTTTTCTTTTTTTTTTTTCCTACTGTTTTACACACCTGCAATGGTTTTATAGATGATATTTATCTGTTTACTTTAGTAGTGTACCATTATGTACAGGTCCATTTATCACGTGTTATACGAGGCTCACTTCTTGAAGAACTATGAAGTGATCACATATGTGGTGATTTATCAGTTTCTTGATCCAAAGGCACGTTTACAGCAAAATAAAATAAAGTTGTGAACATTGCAATTGCGGGTATCATTATGTGTATCTGTTATGGTCATGGTTTCCACTGTTGTCATTTTCTTGGAAGCAACCAATCTATCATTGAACCATTTGCAGTAAACTTAACTTGCTTGACATTCCTAGAGTCTGTTAACTTTGTTTACGTCCTGACCTACCTAGATTCTTACTGTGCCGAGTGCCGTTGTTATTATGTGATTAATAACTATATGCCTTCTTTATTAAGTTCATGAGCAAGTGGGTAATTTAAATCTTCATGTATGCCTTCTTTTTTTTATTGCAGCAAACTTGCTTGTATATCCACCGGAGCATGTTATCTATGGTGAATATGCATTTGAAGATTGGGATGCTGAAAAGATAAAATTCATTCTTAATTTCTTCGTCCCAGACAATATGAGGGTTGACATATTATCCAAGTCCTTTGGCAAATCTGGAGGTATATAGACATCCTTCCTTTATGGACAAATGAGCGCATTCATTATTTGTCCTGTTGCTTTTCTGGGATATTTTTCTGCTCATGTTTTAAAGTTTTATATTGTTTGATTTTAATAATGAAAATTGAATGAAAGGCTTGGTTTAAGTCATTTAACTCATCATTTTTTATTTCTTGGCTGTAGATGTCTTGTGTGAGCCATGGTTTGGAGCAAGATACACTGAAGAAGATATTGCTTCATCTATGATGGATTTGTGGAGGGACCCTCCAGCAATAGATGGATCTTTGCATCTGCCTGGAAAGAATGATTTCATTCCAGTTGACTTCCCTGTGCATGCTGATAGTGTGTCTGAAGATTTTGTTGGTGGATCTTATCCAAGATGTATACTTGATGAAGTATCAATGAAACTCTGGTTCAAGCTTGATAAGACCTTTAAACTTCCACGAGCAAATACATATTTCCGTATCAATTTGAAGGGTGCTTATGCAAGTGTGCGAAGCTGTCTCTTGACCGAATTGTTTGTTCTTCTTCTGAAAGATGAGCTGAATGAAATTATTTATCAGGTTAGTCTTATTGTACTATTGAAGTTCTGTTATGTTATTTCTGTATGTATAAATTTCACTTTCCTGGATTGTGGAGTTCAAGTTTTCTTACGTCAAGGAAAAATTATAAGAGCTTATATTATTTATTTATTATTTATTTATCACGTTTTTACTACTCTTTGAAACTTTCTTAAAGTTTATTCTTGGTACTCTTTTAAAAGTCTCTTAAATTTTACTTGAATGTCCTTTCTTTTTCTCACTTTACAAACTTTTTTTCAAACTTTTTCGACTTGTTATCTTGTTAAGCCATTTTTTTTCCGGACGGTTCCTTATGATGATTCACGTTAACCGACCCCAAATCTTTTTGGGACTAAGGCGTTGTTGTTGTTGCCCGCGGGGGGGGGGGGGGTGGTGGCGGGGGGTTGTTATTGCTATGCATAAGAATCTCTGAGTAATATGCCTCTTAATATCTGTATATGGAAATTTTATCATCATCAATTGTATTGTTTATTTCCTCTCTGTTACAAAGGATCCATCCCTATTTTTCTTTATGGGACCTCTGATTGCTTTGTGTTCTTTTGTTTTTTAATGTACTGGTTTCCTTGCTGTTGCCTGAGATTTTGTAGTTTTTATAAGTAGTCTACAATGTTGAAGCTTGAAGTTTATTTTTATCTCTCTATTTTATGACATAATGAGTATATTTGAATATTTTTTTATATGTATTAGGTAGTTGCTTGCTTAAAAAGCAATCTGTGATATTGTATATTTGCTTTCATTGAGGTTGGGAACCTTCAGGCTGAGAAGAGAGAAATTTTGATGAAAAATGTGTCAAGGAAGTTGCAATTCTTTCAAAAATGGCAAAAAGTAGAAATGGACTAGATTTTTTAATAATTTTGTTTATGAAAATTGATGAGTCAAGAGTCTCAAGACTGCTTAGAGTAAGTTAGCAAATAGATATTGACTGCTTATTGTGGGTGATGTTGGTCTATAATACTGTGATGTTAGTATTTAATCTCATCAGTGAGCTAAGAAGGCCTATTAAGGATCCAATTTTATCAGTCAGCCAAGAGCGGAGACTCGGAGAGCCACACCTATTGTGGGTTCTCTGACTATCAGACAACATTATGTGGAACCAGCATTCTTGCTCTTGTTGGAATAGAATCTTGAAAGTCATAAATGGGAGATCCTCAGTTCCAAGAGAACATACTTGAATCTTATATATTACAGAATTATGAATAGGAGAACCTAAATGTGTGCCAAAGAGTGAATATTTTTGAAGTTCTTTGCCTCTCTTCTTGTTAAACTCCACTTAACTTTGTCCTAGCAAGCTTTCCAAAATTCCAGCATACCCTACTTTGTCCTTGATGTGGGCAGATATTATGAAGATTTCAAGTACTAATGTAGAAATTAGATAATGAAAATATTGAGAGATATTACCTTGAGGTGATCAGATACTTGTACGACACTGGTGGATGAGGCTTATAGGCAGACAGATAAGTTGCACACTGTAAAGGGTGTGAACTGCCCCTTATGGTTGTTCAAGATTGTTTTACCTTTTATGCTCAAGGAAGTGAAAAGTTTGAAGTTTATTGGGAGAGAAAGTGCAAGGTTGTAGAAATTATTGGCATAGAGAATTGATAGCGTTCGTACTCTAAATAATGTGAAATTTCTAGAGTCATAATGTGTTTGGTATTTTTAATCAATCTAGGCCGCAAGCCCCACCAAGCTTGGTTTGAGCTAGGGGACATCCTTTAGATGCACCTAGTCATTGGCTATCTTTTATCCAATATACATGCAGATGTTGCTCAGATATAAATGACTCCTGGCTGTGTTTATTTATGCTCAGGCTGTTTAGCTAATGCCAAGGTGCTCAAATTCAGCCTTTCCACAAATTTTCATGTATCTTTCTTGTTAGATATTGAATGATTATGATTTGGTCAACCAAATGAACTTATAGCTCAAGGTTATGATTGCCATTTTTCCTCAGAAGTCTTCCTGTGCTCAGCTCCGGAGGTCAATTCTCTCCTATCTTATGGAAATTGAGGTGGTGAATGGGTTGGGCCTTGGGCTCAATCTAGAAAACTGGCTTTTTTTTTTTTGTTGGGGGGAGGAGGGGGTGTGCATTAATAAGCTAAATGTATACTTCTGATCTGATTTTGTGAGACTTAATGCATAATGTCATTTATTTTTGTTGATGGCAGGGTTTTAACTCTTTACTTGATGGCTTTCTTGACTTGTTGAGAATTATGATTTCAGTCCTTCTGTATTTGATATAAACACGTTTTCTTTGTATGTAGGCTAGCATAGCCAAATTAGAAACTTCAATATCTGTTTATGGCGATCAACTTGAGCTAAAGGTTTACGGTTTCAGTGAAAAAGTTCCGCTTTTACTTTCAAAGATATTGGCTGTAGCAAAATCTTTTTCACCGAAAGAGGATCGATTTAAGGTGAGATTTCTGGTTCGTTTACCCTTGCACAGTTACACACTTACACCCCTCCCTAAATAAAGAAAAGAGAAAAAGTCAATGCAGATTGAAAGTTCTCTTTTTGGACTGAATTGGGAGTTTGCATATTAATACTTAATTAATTACGATGTATTCCTGGAATTTTGTAGGTCATTAAAGAGAACATGGCGAGGAATTTCAGGAACACAAATATGAAGCCTTTAAACCATGCATCATATCTGAGATTGCAAATCCTATGCAAAACTTTTTGGGAGGTGGACGAGAAGCTACAGTGCTTAGCTGATTTGTCCCTTGCTGAGTTGCAGGCTTTCATTCCAGAGCTTCTTTCTCAGGTATGAAACTGTGAATGTCTGGTAATTATTTTATTTTTATTGCCCTCCAATTTATATCACAAGATGTTTGTCTAAAGTTGTGCAAAATTGAACGTGTACCGAGATAAAAAATAAGGTTAATGACTAAAATACTTTCGGCACTAAATATTGCATAGAGTGGTACAAGAGGAGAAGTGAAGGGGTAAATTGCAAAATTTCTTTATTTTTCTATAACCCTTTATTTCCTGAAGCAAAAGAAAATCTGTTATCTTCTTTTACAAGGCATGAAAAGGATTACTTTAGGTAGAAAAGATACTGGTAACACATTGATAGGGCTGTAAGACTGTTGTTCATGTACAAAAGGAGGATTAGATGACTTAAAGCATGGACTATCATTCTCTAAATCCCTTGTACTATTATGCTTGATTTAGATCTACGAAATTTGAAAAAAAAAAATAATTAAGTATTGTGAACTGCAGTCTGCTGCACAGATGTCCCCTAAAAATGTATTTGACATTCAGAAGCTTTTTGGTGAAAGATCCAGTGCTTTGATTGCTTCCATGAACCAATCACAGAATAGACCACTCAAGAATTCTGCTCTCTTTTCTCCAAAGCTTTTTATGTGGCTTAAAACTAAAACTAGCTCATACCAAAGAGAATTTTACAAAGGACATAAGAGGTGGTGAACTAATATCTGACAAATAAGCAATATTTTTTTGATATACATCCCAATTTCAAACTCTAGACGGTATGTAAGACCAGGAAAGAAAGTTCTGTTTCCTGTAGTTTATGCATATGAATCTAATGAAAGGCTAAAACTATTTGTGTACTTGTATTTGCATTGCAGTTTTTTTATTTTTTATTTTTTATTTTTTTTTATCTGTAAATACTTATGATATTCTCACAGATATGGGCCTGTTTGGTTTACCTTATTTTTTGCTTATCTGAACTTTTCTTTTCTGATCTGAATTTATTTTTTCAAATCTGATGTGACTATCTGATTTGACTCAACTTTGACCTTATATGTCCGCTAATCTATAAGGAGAAATTATATCAAGTGGGGTTTGGTTAGATTTGTAATAATGTGTATTCTATTAATATGTAATTTTTAAAAAAAAATTCATCACGAAATTATTAATATTAGCAATAAAGAAACCACACATAAAATGATTATGTCAAAACTTATTTTTTCTGATTAGAACTTATTTTTTCTTATCTAATCTGAAATAAGTGAAAAATAAGGTGAAGTAAACATAGCCTTATGATCTGAAATTTGCAGACAATTTTTGCATTAGCAAGCAACATTCTTTAATTTTTAAGTTTGGGTCCTATGGGAGTACTAATTTGGCCACCTGGCCATTATTATTTTTTCTGCAGTTATATTTTGAGGGTCTCTGTCATGGTAATTTACTAGAAGAAGAAGCCATCAATGTGTCAAAGATAATTCATAGCTACTTTTCGGTACCCGCAATTCCTGTGGAGATGAGGCATAAAGAACAAGTTTTGTGTCTTCCTTCTGCAGCAAACCTTGCTAGAGATGTCCGTGTAAAAAATAAGCTGGAAGTAAACTCTGTGATTGAGGTATGTTAGACTTGGCAGTACTTATTAGTGTCTATATATATATTGTGGGGTTTCTCATGCTATCTTGTGGGTATGTGCTTCAGCTTTATTACCAAATTGAGCCAGAAAAGGCTGTGGATTCACTTAAGCAGAAAGGCTTCTCTGATTTGTTTGATGAGATTGTGCAAGAGCCATTTTTTAATCAGCTAAGGTAGGTTATCATGCTTAAGTGATATTAGGCATTTCTGCAAGTATTTATTGTCGTAGCATATCTGCTTTGAGGTGCATTCCTGGCTTGGTTTAAATCTTGTTACCGTCTATGTCATGTCATTTGACTTCTCCTTTTATTTGCCTTGTTTTGATTGGGATATAGGACAAAGGAGCAGCTTGGTTATGTTGTTGAATGCAGCCCACGGACTACATACCGTGTCTTTGGTTTTTGCTTCTGCATTCAATCTTCCGAGTATAACCCCTTATATTTGCAAGGAAGGATTGATAACTTCATCAATGGCGTGAAGGACATGCTGGTAAGAAAGCTTTTTCAGGCTTCTCAGCTATGTTTATCAAGTAGTCTGGTGTTTAAATAAAGTATTTTATATATATATATATATATATATATATATATATATATATATATATATATATATATATATATATATATAACAGAAGTCACCCTTCATTTCCCTTTCCCCCTGTTTTGCTTCTTTGATTTTTCATCACTCATCTGCCTGCTCTATTCTTCCTTCGCATCTGTGTTATAGTTTTTGGTTAGAAAAATGTTAAATTGTTTGAAAGAACAAGTGTTTTTTATCATCAAGATTGAAGAATTTTTTTTTCAAAATTTAATGGAGGGCAGTTATAATTCTATACAAGCTCTCTCTGTTGCAGCTTTGTGGATTCATCCATCCCAGTCTTTATTTTGAAGCTTATATTGTTCTGTAGATGACAAAGTTAGAGCTTCGAAACTAGCCTGACTTGTGTTACTCTTTTTTTAAAAATATATATTGATCTTTCCTCTAAACCATATGCTCGACCTATTTCTGTTTCGGAATGGTAATTGATTTTCTGATGAAGTTGTTTTATTAAAATGGTGTGTGGAGGTTGTAGTCTGTGATAAATTGATATTACAAATTATAGAAAGCATAGGAACTAACTCTATGCTTGGATAGAGAGAAATGGAGGAAAAGGAAGAGAAGAGAAAAGGAAAAATGCATCATCCTTTGTTTGGATATTTAATGCCAAGAGGGAAGGGGAGGGATTGGAAGGATCCATTTTCCTTCCTCTTTAATAAACCAAATCCTTCTGTTGTTTGGAGAGACTTGGAAGGAGCGTGGAAGGTCACCTTCTCCATCTCCTCTCCTCACCTCACCTCCCTTCCCCTTTCCTCTTTTTTCAGCCCCTCCCTTTCCCTTCACTATTGTTATCCAATAAAGGAAAGAGGGATTTTTAATATGCGCTTTGTTTGGATAGAAAATAAGGAAGGGGAGGGAAAGAGGAAGGGAATGTTAAAGAAAGGGAGGGGGGGGGGGGGAGGTGAGCTCCATTTCCTCTCCAAATCTCTCCAATTTTGTAGGGATTATGCTTATTTAAAGAGAGAGGGAAAATGGATCCCTCCCTCTCCTTCCCCCAATCATTTACCCAAACAAGAGAGTTTGTCCTCCGCCTTTTCTCTTCCCTTCTTTTCCTTCCATTTCCTTCTATCCAATCAAAGTGTAGCGAAGTACAACGATAAAGGAATATGAATTACATCAACGAAGGAAAGAGGGATTTTTAATATCTGACTGATGAAGTTTGATCACATAAGCTCTAAGCATTGAGAGGCTTAGACTTTCTCCAAACAAGGAATAAACATTTCTTTTTCATAATGCCTCTTCTCACCTCTTCATTTCCTTATAAAAATCACAGCTTTTCTACTCATCTCTCAAAAGTTCCCAGCCATCTTCCTTTTTCAACAGAATTACTGTGACTTACCTTTATTACCAGTGTCCCTATGCCTGGCATACAGTCATTACATAAACATTTAAAGGTGGTTGGTCAGGTTATAATCGAGCTTGGTAGAGGGTGGTTTTTTATTCACTTTTGTGTCAAACCAAAATTTAGTCTATTTTTGGGTCAAAAAAATTGTTGAAGACCCTAAATATTTGGGAAAAAACTGATCGGGTTTTCATTTTGGGTAAAATAAGCCATAATCCAAAGCATGCTCAGGTTTGACAGTTTCTTTAAACATATGAGTTAAACCGCTTGGATTATCTGTAACTGTACTGACATGTTTCTGCATTGAGAATTTTGCTCAACATGGCAACTCACTGAATTGTAATAATGATTATCTGGGCATTCTGTTATTCTAATATCATTATTTTCGATTGCCTTGGTTGTGTTGCAGGAAGGACTTGATGATGGATCCTTTGAGAGCTACAAAAGCGGGTTAATTGCAAAATTACTTGAGAAAGATTCATCGTTGTCATGTGAGACTAGCCGGTTATGGAATCAAATTGTAGATAAGAGGTATGCCATTTCACATTTATGCTGATATTTGTAGATGTTCTTTGTGAAACGGGGCAGTGGTACTCATACCTTGAACATGCTCTGAGCTATGGGAGCGAATGCTCTAAGATTCATTTTCCTTCAACAGTTTACAGCACTCTGTATTCACTTTTTTTAATGGTTATTTGACATGCAAAATGGTCAATCTTCAGGTATATGTTCGATTTTTCAGAAAAGGTGGCAGAAATCGTGAGGAATATTAATAAAAGTGACTTAATTGACTGGTTTAGTAAATATTTCCGGAAGGAATCCCCCAAGTGCCGGAGGCTTGCTATCCGAGTTTGGGGTTGCGACACAGACTTAAAAGAGGCTGAAGCACAGGGCAGGTCTGTGGAAGTCATTGACGACTTTGCTGCATTCAAAACATCTTCCAAGTTCTATGCAAGTATTTGTTGAATAAACTGGCATCAAACATGATGAAGCATTTGTCGACTGGGAGTCTCATATTAGCTTTCAGTCAGGTGCTGAAGATGAGGTTGAGGTCTTGTGTATGGTAGTGAATATGCACAGGAATGTGAGGGTAAAATTGGGCTCAGAAGCAGGGGCCTTGCCAATGCGCTCCATCTTTCCTTTCACTGCTTTGCATAGCTATGCAGAGGGTCCTGACCATCCAGAGAGAATGGTTCTTGTACTGTGAACTATACAGGATTTCAGAGCTTCCTGTACTATTTGCTTGAAACTTCGGACAGGCTACCTCATATATTACTTAAGAAGCAGAGTTAGGACTTTGTTTTTGATGGGAGTAATATAAAATTTTGAGGTGTTAATGGAGGTGTACAACGCATTTGTTAAATATGCTATTTTATCATTGGTTAATCTGAAAAATTTAAACCATAAAACTTCAACAATTTTTCCTTATTGATATATATATATATATATTATATATATATATATATTTTTTTTTTTTTTTTCTTTAGAATAATTCGTTTGTTTGCTTTTTCTAATCCCTTCCTCAATATCATGGCAAGAGGTGTTTTGCAACTATAAAGAAATTGAGGAAGTGTTTATCTAAAAGAAGACATTATGCATAAACGCTGGTCAAAGATATCACAGCATATCACAAGTTCTAATAAAGGGATTATGTCACAGCAATCCTAAATGAGATAATATCAAGGAGAATTAATTCTTGATATCAAAGAGGATTTTTGATATTATCTTCCAAGTATAAGTAGCCAATAAACTAATATTGTATCTTTCTTCTATATCTGAAACTCTTAATTCGCCCTAATTTTCACTTAAACAAAAAAGCTTCGGCCTTTTACTCCCTAGGCAGGCCAGAGCTGAAGACCTCTTGTTTCAGCTAGTCGAAAACCATTTGCTCAACTCCTCCAAAGAATTCAAAGGCCTTACTTCCCACCAAAAGAAACAATTTACCACGATATCGAATTGAAATTGAAATATATAAATGTGTATTGAGAACATATTAAACTTGAAAATTTTTATACTCCAATTCGTATATAGATACGAAATACTCCTACTTACGTAGGACATGACAATTTAAGCTAGAACTATGACATGCAATTAGCCAATTCACTCTATTACAACACACCCACTCTGAAACTGTCTAAATCGTACGGCATTGTCCCAACCAAAATTCACTCCTCTTCTGCACTTTCCAGTAGGGGTGAGCAAACCGGGTACCCGGTCAAAATTTTAAGATCCGGACCCGGAATTGGTTGGGACCGGGTCCTAAAATTTGGAGCCGGAATTGGAACCAGTACAACCGGGTCCTAAAATTTAGGAATTGGAATTGGTTCCACCGGGTACCGGTTCCGATCCCGATTCCGGGTACCCACTTATATATATAAGTGTTGAAATATAATACAAATTATAATATTTTTTTTGGTGTATTTTTACTTTTAGCGTTTAATACTTATATTTTTATATACATTAAGCTATTTTAATTATATTAAATATTAATATTTTTTTTACTAATTAGTTACGTTCAAATATTTTTGTTTTTTAAATATATTTTGTACAATATATGTTGGGTAACCGGTATAGTAGAGCAGAGAGAAAAATCTAGAAGTTCTAGGATTTTGTTTGATAGTGGGTTGAGTGTTTTATAAGCAATTGGGTTAGAAAAAAATGGGTTGTACATAACTCTTTAGTTTCTTAAAAACAAAAACAATCCACATACTAGGTACCGGGTCCAAAATTTTAGGATTTGAAACCGGAACCGGTTACAACCGGGTCCGAAATTTTGGACCCGGTCCCGAAACCGGTGAGACCAATTCTGGGTCCGGACCCAGCGGGTCTTAACCGATTCCGGGTCCGATACCGGGTACCCTGAATCTTTGCTCACCCCTACTTTCCAGTTGACAGTCATAACACCAAATTCCATACGAAACTATTTTCTAATTTTAGAAACTAAATCAATTTAGGGTTCTTCTTCCTCTTTCTATCCGACTCAAATCTTCTTTTGAAAATTCCTTACGTAAGACTAAGTTCATCCCCGATTACACTCTTCTCTCAATTCTCTGAAACTATTTCCAAACAAATGATCAAATGCCATTGATGTATTCCATTCATTTATTCAAAGCAATTTAGGATAAATTAATGATGATGGTGCAAAAGCAACATAATTTATTAGTTCTGTGGCTAGCAATAGCATTTTTAATTCAGGGCCTGTCTTAAATACTTTAGAGACCCTGTTTTTTTTTTTTTTTTTTTTTTTTTTTTGTGTGGAATCTAGGGTTTATCGTGACTTTAATTGTGTCAGTATGGTCAATTTAGGGCTCTACTAGGGTGGATTACTGAACTTTTAGCACTCGTATATCAGTTTTCGAAAAGCTCAATTGTTGTACTCTGCTTTTGTCGAATTTCAGGGAAAAAGAGGAGATAGAGAAGAAGAATGGAGGTAATCAGTTATGTGAGACAATGGGGAGGCGTGGGATTTATCAGAAGAAAAGCCCTCAGAAATTGAAGGAAGAAGCTTATAATTTCAGTGTTTTCTGCTGAGGTTTAAATTTTAATATGACCCGAGTAATTTTGATTTGCATGTTTATTTTTGAGTTTGGTTTCTGAATATTTGAAATTTTGAGTATATATATTAACTTCACAATGTGTTACCAATTAAGATTATTATAAATAAAATAGACATAATTTAACTAAAAAATTACATTCGTATATTATGTACATAGCCTAATAATTTATCTGTTCCAAGGAAGCTGTGAAGAAGTGCCTTCTTTAGTAATGTTAGTGAGAATTGAAAGCTTAATGCCTGAAAATTTTCTTTTCCTATTTAAAAATATCAGGATGGCTGTTGCTATGCTTGTCAAGAGACATGCTGATGGATTGCTACCTACTGATGACTACAACATTGAGCTTGAGGATCAAATAGGGCAGAAGCTTAATATGGGTTCTGACAGATCAAAGGTATGTGTTCGCTGATTGCAAGCTACTGTATGCACCATCTGGAAGTCTCTCTTTAGTTTCAATTGTTGAGAAGCAACGCATGTGCGGAATTGCCTTATATTTTGTATATGAGGGAAATAATGATGGGTCTTATGCTGCATACAAAGGGAAGCAGCTAATGAGAGCACAGCAATACAAAGAGGCATTAGAGGCGCTTGAAATGGGAGAGGTTAGTGGCAGCACGTCAATGTGGGGAGTTTATTGTTAATAAGAAATTATTTTGTCAGACATTCGATTTTTTGTGTAACTCTTTTTTGAATATGATGTTCTTAACACGAGATCCATTGTGTTTTTCAGAAAGCCTTTTCTCTCTGTGACTCTAAACTCATAGAGGTATTAGTCATTCCTTTTCTCCCCGGGTTTTTTTATTCTTGCTTTCAAGTGGTATCTTACAGAGATTTATTCTGCATATCTGAGTGTATCTGGTTATCTGCTTTCTTCTTTCTGTCTGTTGCAGTTTAATATGTGCATGCTTATTCAATGGTTTATATTCACAGTGTATTGACATTGTTCCAATCCTTCAAATTGACATGGTGTGGACGTGTGTGCTATTTTATGCTTCGGGACATCAACTTGCTCACGTTGGCTGGTGAGCATATTGCAAAAGCTAGAGTAGGTATTGAGCATATTGCAAAAGCTAGAGTAGGTATTGAGCATATTGCAAAAGCTAGAGTAGGTATTGAGATCTTCAGAGTAGTCGTAGCCCAAAGACTGCATTGTAGGTTACATCCTTCTGTTTTCATATTTTGTAGTTTGTCTGGAGATGGGAAAGAATGACTGCTGCATAATTCTATTTTTGTTTGGTTCCTCCTAGATATTTGAGGTTAGATCTCTTGAAAGGTGTGGCAGCTTTTCACTGTGGCAAATTGGATGAATCCAGAGAAGCTTTGACATCTGCCAAGGCAAGATATATTGCAAGGTATGGAACAATCAGTTCTATATTGTGTTCTTTAAGATTATCATGAGTGGCTCACCTCCTTTAAGAGAGGGATTTTAAAGTGATGTTCAAGTGGTCATTGCTGCCAGAAAAGTGAGCATTCCTCTCTTTATATCCATCATGGTTTCTCCAGGTTTATATTCAAAATATGTATCATTTAAACTCCAAGTTTACAACATAATTGGTGAGTCCTTGTGATAAGTATTACAGAAATGGTAAATAATTAAGCTAAAACTCGTAACAGCCTTCTAATTTCTAGCTTTTAGAATGTGAATAATCTCCATCATGGTTTCTCTAGGATGTCATTCAGTAATATATATAAAGTTCCAAGTCTACAACATAATTGGCTAGTCCTTGTGATAATCGTTACAATATTGTAGGCGTTGGTTTGGATAATCAAGCTAAAACATAAAAATTTGAGAAACATGAGCTTGAGCTCGCTTTCTAATCCCCAGACCCCAGCTCTTAGAATATAATGCAGACACCTAATAACTTTTTAAATTTAATCTCGGTATTGGAGATTGGTATGAGTAACGCGTTTGCTCTTAGTTATAGTCTGCGGGGAATGCTCTTAGTTACAATCTTGGTATTGGAGATTGGTATGAGTAACGCGTTTTTCTTAGTTACAGTCTGCAGGAAAAGCTCTTAGTTACAATCTTGGCATTGGAGATTGGTATGAGTAACGCGTTTGCTCTTAGTTACAGTCTGCGGGAAATGGGGCCTTTCAAGCAGGAAAGCATACAGAAGCAGTTGAACATTAAACTGCAGTTTTGTCATTTAATGTTGAGTCCTGTCCTTTTAGTGCAGTATGTTTTTGCTGATCGAGCTGCAACTTACCCAACATTGGGGATGTTCACTGATGCAATTGCAGAATGCAGTTCAGCAATAGCTTTGTATGAACAATACTTTGAAGGTTTGGACCAATTATATTTGCATTTAGAGCACTAAATCTGTTTTTGGAATAACTTTTTTTATGAGATTTGTTTTACTTGTTAAACTGCAACTCCAACTTACTTGGTTCCTCATGAGGAAACATGAAAGTTTATAACTTTACCTAGCCTTTTGGAGGAACACATATTAAGCCGGTAACATTGGTTATGTGAACTTTCTGATTGACATTGAACGTATTAAGAAATTCAGATCAGTGCCTTTTTTTTTTTTTTTTTTGGCCTGGACAATCTGCTCATATAACTTACTGGCTTCTCAAATAAAACACTTTCTTTTTAATATGTATTTATACTGTTTGAACATTAAAGTAAATAAACACCATGTTGACATAAATAATCAGAAAAGCAGCATGCTTCTTTAATAAGCTTCTTGTCTATGCAGTATACCTTACTTAATCCGAAATTTAGCGCTTTGACTGAGTGATCTACCCAACTTATCTATAAAGCTATATGTAAGTTACAGATATGTACCCAAATAGGTGATGAATTTAGTTCTGTACAAGTAGGTTCTTTTTGCTGTTGTTTTTAAATAGACAACTAGTTTCTTCATTCACTAATGTCAACCATGAATATTTATAATTGTACATTCAAAAAATTAACATTTTGAAATTGAGATGAATCTAACAAGATATCAGATGACTATCTATTTGTTACATATTAAATCATTTGCGGTAGGGAAGTAATATTTTTAGAAATGGTCTTTTACTTAATGTGTAGAAACTAGAAAGAGTATAACTGTGTAGGTTGATGCTCAGGAATTCATTGCTCATCATGGCTTTTACCATAGTATGCAATTTGTAAGCTATGATCAAGTGAGGGAAGTAACTACATATTGACTTTTATCCCTGTCTACTTAATTAATCTAGCTGTTGAAAGTGTTCCAGATATTTGGTACTGTTTACTCTGGCCAATCACTGTATCTAATTAGAGTATTATCTTAACTAAATTAGAGTATTATCTTAACTATGTTGCAGGCAATATCTACAAGAGCCATCTTTTTGAGATGATTAGAGACTATGAGCAGGAAGTGAAAGATCTTGAGAGACTTGTGTCTCTTGTAAGTCCACTCAACTAGGAGCATATTTGCCATTGGGCCTGTAGCTGATCTAAGACAAGCTCGACAATGGCTCTATCAGTTGGAGGAACAGGCTAAAAAGGAATACCTTTAAAGTTGTACCTCATCTTGTAAGTGTTATGAATTTTTCAGTTTGATTTTTTTTATTCTGGTGAACTGGAATTTGGTACTTAATAACATCAGTTTTGGTCTTAATTCTGTTGGCAGGGAGTAGAGCCATCTGTTACAGCAATAAATCTGAAGAAAGCTTATTGTAAAATGTAATCCTGCTCTGAGGCATCATCCTGATAAGGTTTGAGCCTTCGCATTGCTGTTTCACTTGCCATATTTGTATGGCTTGCAATTGACATTAATTTTGCTAATACAGCCTGGTCGATCAGTCATTGCAAGAGCCGAAAGCGGAGATGATGTCCTCTGGAAGGAATAAGCGGAGGGGGACTACAAGGATGCTGAAGTGATAAGCTTTTCAAGATGATTGGCGAGGCATATGCAGTTTTTTCACACCCGGATCAATTTATGATATGTTATCTCAAGCTGATACTAAGATCTATATTAGCATTTTCACTTGTCAGCTGATACTGAAAATGATATTGCTTTTATTATTACCAGTTTTTGGTGTGTGTTTGTTTTGGGAATCGTTTGAGCGTTGCTTGTTTGATAGTTAAATAAAAAAGCATCACTTGTTTTTTGTTTTGATCTTGTAATCATTTGTGACTAGAAACAGATCTCTATTCTTGCGAGAATTAATCGAAATGTTATACGAAATAATTTATGTTTATACCCGTAAAAAATATAGGTCACAAATCATACCAAATCAAATACTGCATTTAACATGAAACTACATGAAATAAAACAACTCAAACAAGAACTAAGTACTTTACAATATCTTTATTATTTATTATATAAGCCAAGGAGTGAGGGGAGACTAAAAAGTTGGTTTCCAAAATATGAATTACTAACAATACCCTCCTTCTCTCTCTTTATAAAAAAAAATTAAAACAACTTAGGCAATAAAAAAATTAATTCTTATACCTTGACAAAATTAGAGAAATGCTATTCACAAATCACAATTGTTGATTGATTGCCTTGAAAAATTAATTAAAGCAATGAAAACGTACAATATTGATAAACGTGCATTGAAATTGGGAAAGACGATCATATATATAGATTAATTTGTGAATATTCCATCAAAAACTATATCTATTATACAAGTCAACTCCAGATAGCATATAAAAACACAAGTTAACCTTACTATCCATATTTTTATTGAAAAAAGAAAAAATAAGTAAAAATTTTATATTCATTAACCAAGGTCTATCTATAAGTTGGTTGATATAATTTTATTTATTTATTTATTCATTTGGAGAAAAATTAGCTTGATTAATTATCAATTCACGTGTATATTTGCTCAGAGTGAAAAATTACACACGTATTGATTTTTTGAAATATAAAGTACCCGTAAGGCCGTAATATTGTTTGGTCAAAAACCATGTATTAAAGTTATTCGTAAAATCTTTTGGTGCCAACGAAAGTTATTAATGCTAAAAAAATATATTACATGTAAATTTGTAAATATTTACTAATCATGTAATTCATGTTCATGAATCCACATATCATATATACTTTGACATATTATATTTTTTTTTTATTTTATATTTTCTCCTAATTGATTGAAATATATAATCTCAGCCTATATCGCGTGCATAGATTACTAGTTTTGTATATGAGATGTTTTAGACGTGATTTAATATCAAATTCCGAATCCACCCTTATTGGCAACTGCTAATTTGTTATACATGGTATGGTAAGTATTGGTGACTTTCAAGTTTGAAATGAGAAAACAATAAATGTTGACACACATACACGCCTTCATTCACTGTTATTACACTGCACACCATTCTCTGCATCACATAATTCCACCATAAAATCCCGATTCTCTTGCTATTCAGTGATCCCAATGTTCAACAGGTAAATCTCTATCTCTCTCCTCTGTCAACCCCAATAAATTTCACCCCACCTTTCCGATTTCTCTGCTAAAAAATTTCATGTTTTTCAGTTTTTTGATTGACAGATCTAGGGTTAAACCCATTTGATCAATTTACAGATTGGACTCCCCTCGAAGCTGATTGCCCTCATTTCAATTTATTTTTACCAAAGAAAGCATGCATTTTTGAGGGATTTTTCAAAGATTGAATATTGTATTACTGTGAGAATTTTTGAAAGATGGGTGAGAAATCTGAAAACCAGCGGTTTCAGCTTGGAACAATTGGAGCATTATGCTTGTCAGTGATTTCTTCAGTTTCCATTGTTATCTGTAACAAGGCTCTTATTAGTACTCTTGGCTTCACTTTTGGTTAGTCCCCACATTCTTATTGTGTTATATTGTGATGTTAATGTGAGTGTAGGATAGAAATTGTATATGATCAATATATGCTGGTTTAATTTGCTAATGTGTTTTTAAGGGATTAGGGGTGACATTCGTGGGGTTTGTGTAGAATTCTTTCTTTTTTAATTTGTGTTGGGCTGCTTTAGATTGTTGCTAACTTGCTAAGTATATTATTTAATGCTATGGAGTTGAAATTGAGAAATAATTAAAATAATATTGCTTTGAATGTGGACCACTTTTGTATTGGACTTGGGATGGAGATGGGGAATTATGGTATAAATGGAGATATTTAGCACGCTTGACCTTGTCGAAGTTTTGACGTTTCAGCAAAGGGTTGCACTAAATTTTTTCGAACTTGGTTGAATTAGAAACAAAATGCTATAAAGGGTTAGCGCCTTGACTGTTGGCCTTTCATGAGTTATTACGATCCGTGTATCACTATCTATTGAATATAGTTTCCAGCTACTCATTATTTGGTGAAGTGAGATAATGTAAGAAAGGAAGAGTGGAAGAGGAGGAACCAAGACGAGCCAAGTTATAGGCTTATTGTAACATGGATCTCTATGGCTAAGATAGAACCTAAAGTCCATGTTGTTAATATTGGCCTTTAGCTCGCTCATTCCCTTGAACAGTTTAGGGAACAAATCACATGGATGGAAGTAAGAACATGTTGTGAAAAACTCCCCGGGGTGGGGGGTGGGGAGGAAATAGCATCCTCGATGAAGAAAGTATGACAGAAGAGCCACATATTAGTGCTTCCTGGTAAACTCACCTCAGCTTAATTGTTTTGCAATCAGTCTGTAAAAAAAACTGATTTGGTCAGAAAGGGGGAGTGTTATGGGTTAGAAAATGCACCAAATTGAAAGAATACAGGGTACAGAAACTATACAAGATGGCAATTAATTTGTTGATTTCCTAAAACTTTCGATGAGAAGTATTAAAGGGAGAAAGCTACCCAATGCATAAAGAAACCATACTAAAAAGGTGAGGTAGTGATTTGAATGTATGGGAAGATAGAGTAACTTGATCACAGTAGATTTCGAGGTTGAAAAGGAATGCTTTCATGCTTATTCCTTCAGTAATAAGTAATAGGCCTATTATACAATAATCCTCACATTAATTTATCTAGCCTTGTTCTCTGATGTTGTATTGAATCACTTATTGGGATTTGCAGCTACTACTTTGACCAGTTGGCACCTTCTAGTTACATTTTGCTCGCTTCATGTTGCACTATGGCTGAAAATGTTTGAACATAAACCATTTGATCCAAGAGCGGTGATGGGATTTGGCATACTGAATGGAATATCTATTGGACTACTGAATCTTAGCTTGGGATTTAATTCTGTTGGTTTCTACCAGGTACATCTTTTAAAGCATTATCTCTTTAAGCATGTAGCTATTTCTCCTATATCCAACATATAAGTTGCTCAGCTGGTCTGAATTTATGTAAGTTGCTCAGCTGGTCTGAATTTACATAAGTTGCAATAAAGTCTTCTGGTCCTTAAAAGTCTCAATTTTTTTAGCTGTTGATTGCCTTTTGACAAACATAGTGCTTTAAAGTGCATTGATTCCTCTTTTCCATTTGTTATTTATTTATTTATTTTTTTTAATAATTTTCCTCTTCGAATTTAGTGGAGATAATTTTTAACTTCATCTTCTTGTAAACTGCAGATGACCAAATTGGCCATCATTCCATGCACTGTCCTTTTGGAAACTCTGTTCTTCTTAAAGAAATTCAGGTCAGGGTTAACCTTTGCCAAGTGTTCTTGCATGTTAAGTTTTCTTTGTTATACTTCAGAATAGTGTGCCAATTTCATATTGTAACTTTGACCTGAGAGGGAGAGGGGTATATCTTAATCTGTACTTGAATATTGCCTTGTGAAATTCTTCTATGATGAGAACCCAACTATGTCTATTCTTTGGTTGTGTGTATATAAAGTTGTTCTATTACTCGAATGGTGTTTCACCTTTCGAGATAGCTTTATTGGGTATTGTATCTTTGTATAGATTATTAGCCTCATGAATCTTTACAATGTGTGCATTACTATCAAATTAGCAATTTCCTTTCTCTTTTCTCAGAAGTATACCTCTTTAGTTCCTTGATCATCATGAATAATTACTGGGAAGGACAACATTATTAAGTTCATTTTAATAAGTTTTTCTGTTATTTATCTGAGTATTAATGCTAAGAGAAGGGATTTTTGAGTACAAACTCGTCTTTTAATGTGATATAACGAGTTGGTGTTGTGTTCACTTTATGAGCCTCTGGCTTCTATATTATCTGCCTTTTCTGATTATGTAAAGTTGAGTTGAAACTTAACTAAATTTGGGTTCCAAATGAAGCCTTGCCCATTGGTCGAATCTCTTCTCATGGTGTAGTGTATCTTGTGTTCAGTCTTTTGCTAACTAAATGTGCTTGTTTACTTGCTTCATCATATTATGACTTCATCTACACTTTCATCATGGATTGCAGTCGGAGTATCCAGTTTTCTCTTGGCATACTTCTTTTGGGAGTTGGCATTGCAACCATAACTGACCTGCAGCTCAATCTTCTGGGTTCTGTGTTGTCACTGCTTGCCATTCTGACAACCTGTGTCGCTCAAATTGTATCCTCAAATGAACCTTTGAAGCTTACCTGCTGTGTTTTATTTTTTAATAATTGGATATTAATATTTAAATCTTGAATTTAATGATAGAAAAGCATTTTGTTGTTTAATATCTTAATCAACCTCTCAGATGACAAACTCTATTCAAAAGAAGTTCAAGGTCTCCTCAACTCAGCTCTTGTATCAGTCATGCCCATACCAAGCAATAACCTTGTTCATTTTTGGCCCATTTCTTGATGGTCTTCTGACTAACAAAAATGTTTTTGCATTCCATTACACCCCAACAGTTTTGGTAAGAACTTGTTTGTGTCCTAAAGATCTTTTTACACTTTTCTTGGTATAAAATGATTGTGCAAGTAATAATTTTTTTTTCCTTTCAGGTCTTCATTGTCTTATCCTGCCTGATTTCCATCTCCGTAAATTTCAGCACATTTCTTGTAATAGGGAAAACATCAGCAGTTACTTATCAGGTCCTTGGACATTTAAAGACCTGCTTAGTTTTGACATTCGGCTACGTACTACTTCGTGATCCATTCAGTTGGCGTAACATCCTTGGTATACTTGTTGCCGTGGTAGGAATGATTCTGTACTCTTATTATTGTTCAGCAGAGGGCCAGCAGAAAGCTCCAGATGCATCAGCGCAGCATTCTCAGGTTTCTTATGACACTTTAAGTTTTATTTATTTATGACTTAACTTTTGGAGATTTGGTAATCAGTGTGTGTCTATGAAATTCTGGGAGGTGTCAAGCATAATGGGCACAAATAGTTGTTCCTTCTTTTCTTTGTCTTCACTTGGTTAGTCTTGAATGGGAATTATCAAACTAGTAAATCATAACTAGGGATGGCAATAGGTCAGATCTGTAATTACAATTCCCTTCCTACCAAGGGGCAAGTGAAAAGGAACTCTGTAATTACCTTTAGGCTCTGGTTCATTAGAGATATTAGGGTAGTAGTGATCATATTTCTCATTGGTGGTTTTTAGATTGAACAAGTGGTTCTTAACAGCTAAAGGCGCTTGTGTCTTTTACTGTGGTGATAGAAATATTGAGGATGCCTTGTCCACCGTCTTGCTATAGATCAATCATCAATGGTGTACATTCTGATGTTCTGTCATTCATCCCCAGGCCTGTCTATTGGCATTTGTCTACAAAATAGGGTCATTGGGTGATTTGATGATTGACCTCCCATGCATTAGCTTGGAGAAGTGTTCGAAAAAGCGCGCCTTAGGCGCAAGGCGAAATGGGGTAAGCGCTTAACTTGGTCTGGGCGAGGCGTTTTTGGTAAGGCGCATGAGGCGCACCAAAAGCGCACAAGGCATACCCGAGGCGCAAGTGAGGCGCACCTGGAGAAATTTCTGCCAATTTTTTTTAACTGCTTGACACTGGCGCACTGAGGGGCGCCTTAGGCGCACCTAGGCGCTGCATGACCCTTCTCACTTCAGCGCGCCTTGAGCTTTTTTATACATTGGCTTGGAGAAAGTTAAATCTATTGACCTAGTTTAGTAATTTGGTTTCTAGAAAAACACAGGCTCACATTAATGAAGTAGTTGATGTCAGGCACCAATAGGGCGGTACTTGGTAGGTATGTCAGTATTTGTCTCCAGGTGTAGTGGCTCTTAAGTATGCCTTTTTCTGGATGCTTACCGATGAGTGAGCAACATGTGACAACATGTAACTTAGAGATGTTTTCACATAAGTATTAGAAGTGTCATCTTTGGCAGTTGGGGCTAGAACCTCAAGAAATAAGTATCAATTATCTCTGGATGTTGGACTGTTAGGATAAAAAATGCTAATCATAATATCAAAAGTTTGGCCTTACATAGTGAAATTTTAACGTACTGAGCTTTAGTACACTTGTAACTTTTGCAGGGTAATGAAAATGATACAGATCCGTTGATAGTTGCGGAAGATGGAGCTTCAATCTTGGCTGACGGTGTTGTGGCAAAGGAGCCTGCCTGGAATTCAAAAAAGGACGTGGATGCTTGAAGGTTATGTAGTCTTAGTTGCAAGTTCAAAATATACAGGCTGATGGATTCCAGTGATGAAGATGTCACTGAAAGCAAGTCACTGCAGTGCACTGTTTAGCGTATTATCTCAGTTAAACTTTGAGGTGTAGTTACGAAAATTTCTCCGTTCATTTAGGCAGTTTTGGTTATTAGCACAATGAAAAAATTTGAGAACAATGGACTATATATATAGGTATTTTTGGGTAATTGTAGATGTTCATTGACAGTGAGATGGTATTCTGTAGATTTCCATGGTCTTCAATTCTTCATTACAATGTGGGTTACTGTTAAGTCTCTTCGGTCTATTGTTTTTCAGGGATTACCACAATGGAGATGCAAGCTCTAAGCTATCATAAAATGGCATCTGAAGCTCAATTCCTCTAGCTAAGAGAATCCTCTCATCCTCTAGCACATCCATGAGGAATTGGTGATTTTCTCTTGGCGAGTACGTAGGATACTTTCCTTAGCTCTTGTTACAAAAAAAAATGTTTATGTAATTTAAAAAAGGTGTTGAGGAGTAATGGGTAGTACGGAGTAAAAAAATTCGGTAAAATTTCATGATTTTAGCGAAATGATGGGTAGATTCCAATTAGACACCCTGTTCTAAATCCTCAACTGGAAGAGTTAGTAAGTAATAATCCATACTTTCGACAACAATAAAGGCCAGGGACCAGTGGTATCTTGAAATGGTATAACTCGGTAGTCTGGACTAATCACCCGGGTTCGACTCCCGGTAAGGTTGAACAAATAATATTGATCGAGTGATGAAGAAGACAAAACTTGTAGGTGGACTTTGGGGTCCGCCACTAAATCCTGATGATAAATCGGATGGAATTCAAGTGCCGTCTGAGCTCGATCATTCACTGTCCCTTCCCCCTCCCTTTTTTTTTATCTTTTTATTTTTTTTATTGTGATCAACATTTGACTTTTCGTGGCCGTCAAACATCTGGCTTCTAATGATTTGTAAGTTTCAATAACGATATCTTGTCTACCATATTATCCTTTCGGAACATTTGTTTGTCTTAAGTTTCAATCACTATATTTTGTCTACATCATTGGCCTCGTATATGCCAAAAGATAAATGATGATGAATGAATTGAATAAAGACAGATACCATCCTAAATTAGAGGAAAAGAAAGACTCGAAGACTTAAACTGAAACTCTTGCTTTGAACTCTGAACCTTCAAACCAATTGCGTTACACAGCGTAATCCTATTGATATTATGATTGATCAGTTCATAAACCCATTCAGCAAAATTAATTGCGTCAAATAAACAAGATAATTGCCAAGTCAAGGGAAAAACCATTTTTTTTTAAGTTCTATTTGTTGCTGATATAATGAAGGTTGACCATCAGTAGCAATAGCAAAAGAATGGCGTTAGTTACAGGAGGAAGAACACAAGCAGAAACAGATGATTCAGCTGACTATGCAGAGACTGATCCTACTGGTCGTTATGCTCGGGTAATTGATTTCAACTCTAAATCTTGATTTTTTTTTTCGTGTGTTCGTGTTAGAGGTCTATATGTACGCAACTTTATCCCTGTTCCGACAGGCCTTGGGATTGTTTATGATCATGTGAAACCCAACTTGCCCTTTTATAATAATTATGATTATTAATAATAATTATAATAAAGTAACACCTTTTTATCTAATTTGACGACTGTAACTTGATCTTGCGGGGGAATGGTTTAGACCCTTATTCTGGCAAGACATGATTTTAAGTAGAAAATCATTTGAATTTTTTATTGCTAGTTTAAAGTAATCCTTTTTTTTTTCCATATTTTTTGAGTATATATTGTTGTATTGGTAGCTCCACAAAGGCTGAACTGTTTACATACAAACTAGGCAGGAATAAATCATGTTTTTTGGGTAGTTGGATGAAATTTTGGTGATAGATATGTTGCATAGCGTTGATCTCATGGCTTTGATTTGTTATGTGGGTAGTTGAATGAAATTTTGGGAAAAGGCGCGGTGAAAACAGTATATAAAGCAATAGATGAAGTGTTGGGTATAGAAGTGGCATGGAACCAAGCAAAGATTAAGGATGTATTGCGTTCTCCAGAACAGTTGGAACGCCTTTACTCGGAAGTCCATCTGCTTAGCACCCTTAATCATGATTCTATCATCCGTTTCTACACTTCTTGGATTGACACCAAGAACAGGACCTTCAATTTCATTACAGAACTCTTCACTTCTGGCACTCTTAGACAGTAAGCTCTATTACAAGTCTTTCTCCCTGCAGGCCTGCAGGGGCTTTATAAAATGAATTCGAGTGAGTAGCTAAAAGTTTCTGAATCACCATTATTTCAGGTACAGGGAGAAATATAAGAGGGTAAACATCCAAGCTATTAAGAGGTGGTCTCGCCAAATCTTACAGGGCCTTGTTTACTTGCACGGTCATGATCCTCCAGTCATTCATAGAGATCTCAAGTGCGATAACATCTTTGTTAATGGTCATGTTGGCCAAGTCAAGATTGGTGATCTCGGATTGGCAGCACTTCTCAGTGGCTCCAAATCTGCCCACGCTATTATAGGTACAGAGAAACTAATATGTGACCAGCTAGCTTCACGCCTTCATCACAGCCAATTTGGAGCCTCTAACCGATCTTAGGTTGAAATTGATATTGTTGATGGTAACTTGCTGTGTGTTTCTGTTTGGGTCATATATTGCAGGTACACCTGAATTTATGGCACCTGAGCTATATGAAGAGGATTACGATGAGTTGGTTGATGTATACTCATTTGGCATGTGCTTACTCGAGATGTTAACTCTGGAATATCCATATAGTGAATGTGTCAATCCTGCACATATATACAAGAAAGTCACAATGGTAAAGTTGTGATTTGATCAATGGCTGGTGAATAAACATACATACCATTGAAGTAGTATAGTTATTTGGTAATTTTTTTTTTGTTAATCAGGGTAAGTTACCAACAGCAGTAAATCTGATTCAAGACAAGGAAGCACAACAATTTGTTAAAAAGTGTTTAGCCCCCAAAACCAAGAGATTGTCTGCAAGTGACTTACTTCTAGACCCGTTTCTTTCATCAGTTGCTGGTGATTTATTGCTCACCAAAGTTAAAGAAAGCGAAAATCCTATTCTTAATAGCTCGTCCAATCTGGGAAAGTTGATGCTGGTTGATACTCTACCAAGGACTAATATGACAATTACCGGGACACTGAAACCCAAAGATGGTATCATCTTTCTCAAGGTGCAGATTTCAGATGGACATGGTATGTAACAGTCTAATCATGCATTATGCAAATCTGTCCAACTCTGTCATGCTCTTGATCAATATGGCATTATATAAAATTACGGCTCTAAAAATGTCTGTGTCATCTTGCAGGTCCTGCACGGAACATATTCTTCCCATTTGACATAATAAGTGATACGCCGGAAGAGGTTGCATTAGAGATGGTGCAGGAGCTGGAAATCACTGATTGGGACCCAAAAGAAATAGCAGAAATGATTGAGGCTGAAATTTCTGTTTTGATGCCACATTGGAAGAGACCGGTGTCATCTAGGTCCCAACCTTACGATTACCAAGAATACAACTATGATGGGGCTCGTGGTTTGTATAATTCTTCATCATGCTCATCTTCCATAGCTTCAGCTTCAGGGGTGCTTTCTTCTCACGAGAGTGACCAGTTATTTCTTGGTAATGACTGCTTCCAAGGTTTCGGATTTTACTTCTCTAAGTATATGTATAATTATCAAGAAGTCAGACTCACAGTATATGTATGATTAGACCAAATTGATAATTGAATTTAAACTATTAATCATGTTTAAACTGTCTTTAGCACCAATTTAAGTTAAATCAAACTCACATGGAATGGTTTGCTATCTGTTCTTTATGTCTAATTGTCTATGATGTTATCTTTTGAAATGTTTAAGTTGTTCTATCTATTTTGCAGAGGATTTCCCTGATGAATGCAGCTCTTACAGCTCAACGCGTACTGATAAGACCACTAACTTGAGTTGCAGTTCAATTGCTGATGTAGAAGGTTTTACAGGCTGTAAGAGAAAGAGTTCAAAGGACAAGCACCGGTTGACTAGGAATCGTTCACTTATAGATGTGCAGAGCCAAAAACTTCACCGGTCATTGTTAGAAGAGGTAATGAAAAAGAGATTATCTAAAACAGTTGGGGCTGTGGAGAACATTGGGTTCCAATCCCCATTTAATATCTCAACTAGTCAGGGCAGAAGGCTAGCTCAGACTACCAGAGATGATAAAAGGCAGGGAAAAATTAGACCTGATGAAGCTCTTAAAAAGTAATCGTAGGGAGAGGATTAAATCATCAGAATTCTTTAGTCATGTCCCATTGGCATGTTTACGCTCTGCATGTATATTAATCTGTCATAAAATTTTAGTTAAACTGTATTCTATTTATATGTTCTTGCTACGATCCTCTACTTGGTTTACGGGCTAGGATTGAACCACCACTTATTCTCCCATATTGAACCTCCATTACTGTATGATGAGAGTGTTCTAATACCACTGTAATGACTGCTTCCAAGCTTAAATAAGAAACTTATATTGATAAGATTCTTATGAGGTTCAACATAAACTTGGCAAATGGGTCATTCGGGTCGGGTATGGATCGGGTCAAATTCCGGTCAAAAAGTTATCGGGTTAAGTTCGATTCAGGTCGGGTCATTTCGGGTTTTCGGTTCGGGTATTGTGTCAACACTTCAGGTCGAGTTTGGGTCGGGTCAATTTTCGGGTGCAAATTTCGGGTCAACTTCGGGGCGAGTCATATTCGGGTCGATGCATTGGGTTAAACTCAACTCTGTATATATATTTATTTATTTTTTGATGAGAAACTCAATATATTTATTAAGGCTACTTTTGAAAAAATATAGTAATTGTTAGACTTTTATTGACCTTGTTTTTTTTTTTTTTTTTTTTTAATTTTTTTATTATGGTGTTTAGATTGAGAATCAATTTCAGGATCTCCTGAAACTAAGAGAAATGATCTGACTAATTGAGTCATACCTCACTCTCTTATTGACCTTAGTTTTAATACTCTTATTATCATTGTCACTATTCACTGTTGTAATAATTTATTTGTATTATTCTTATAATAATCTATAATATAATCTATGTTTTTTAACTGCTCCATTAATTTTAACTGGACATACATCGATACATATGCAGGCATGCCAGTGCAGGAAATTGATCAATAATAGACTTCCTATTATAATTATCAGTAATTTACATTATAGAATTTTACCAATTGAATATCCTTAAAATATTTATTGTGGTAACGATTTCAACAAGTACACACAAGAGTGACAAGACTATATTTTTTTCTAATAAAGACTTAAAGCATAGTAGCGTGGATGGACGCCAGCCAAGTACACTTACTCGCGCTATGAACTTTTCTTAACCGATTCGATCAGATATATGTTATGACATGCTTCGTTTGAAATTAAATTTATTGATAAATTGCAAATTAGGAGGTCAAACCAGCCAATATATACTCAATTTTATTTTTGTGACCGATTCAATCAAAAATAGGTTATAACATGCTTCGTATGATAAAAAATCTATTGGTAATTAGGAATTTAAACAAGTCAACTTAAACTCAGTTGTAATTAGTTCTTCAAATTACATGCTTTAATGTATAATAATATATGTGATCAAGTACTTAAACATAAGGTAGGGTGGAAAACGACACAAAATTTTATTATAAAGTTGATTAACAACATTATTGTAAACCTATCCGATTCCAATCAACTTTTTTCAAACAAAACTCATAACAAGGTTTTTCTTGTTCAAGGTAATAAGTAATTTGATCTCAAATTCAAACTTGATAATATTAGATTAAACCTTTTCGGGCTACTTAATAGCTCAGTCTTCGACTCTCCGGTCTAAATTACTTCATAGGATGTCTCATCACTATTAGTCTATTATGAACTAATGAATTATGAAGTATTGCAGTTATGCAACTATGCTTGTATCTATGTATAATGACTGAGTGTTGGGTAATTGGTGCACAATTGGCCAGTTGCACACAATATGATACTTCCTTTGTTTCTTTTTAGTTGACACGTTTCTGTATCATATTGTTGTTATAAATTTATAATTAGACAAAGACAAAATGACAAATTCTTTCTCATTCTTCTTTCAACGTATTTTTTGTGATCTTTACACTAGATTATCCTAGAAGCACCTGAAAGGCTCTTGTAGAACTTTGAAATTTAATATGGAAATATAGTGAGCTGGAAAATATTATTAGTTTATGGTATGATTGAACCTTAAGTAATTTCTTTGCAGTTTATATATATACCACGGATATGCTTTAAAGACCTATTAGGCTTTCATTGTGCCATAGGTCAAGAGAACGAATTCATTAGGAAGTCCTTTAAGGTTTGCTGTGAAGACAGCGGTTTGTTGTAAAGCCTAAATGATCAGAAATGCCTGAGGATCATTTCTGGAAAGTGCGGAGTTGTCTTAAATGTTTGAGTCGTATGCAGATTCATCCTTGTCAAGAAGAACCCGACCTACTTATCCAAGGCCCCTTCCTAGACTACACCAATGGCCTTTGGTTGAAAATTTTGTACTCCAGATAATTTGTTTGCTGAACTTGGAAGTTTTATATTACTTATGCTATTAATTTTTCACCTGTAACGATACTCAGGCTAGATAATCTCAATATAGCTATTTTGGGGAAAGTGTTTCTACGATAATTATGCTAATTTGGTGTTTGGGGTAAGTTGTGGAGTTTTTGAGAAGCGATAATATCACAAAAATTAATGAAGGAAGAAAACTAGGCTCTGTTCACAGCTCACTAATTTGAAAGCAATGCATCATGTTTTTTTGTTGATAGTCATATGTGGAAATGATTATCGTTATAGCTATATGGTGTGCTTATACTTACTGTGTCAATTGTTCTGCAATTTGTAAAGCAGGCTAAGCCATGAGTACAAAGATCCGTGTAGTGGTTAGCTCTTTTGGCCGTCCATTTTTGGAAAGCCTTCCACCTCATACGCGAAAGATTTCACTGCCTGAAACTAGAGTATTGTATACTATTCTACGGTCACCTCACATTGACAAAAAGTCCCGAGAACAATTTGAGACCAGGGTCCAGAAATGTGTACCGGACATAAAAGCTGAGAGGCTTGAATTGCGCCACAAGCTGTTTTGGTTAGCACGTCATCGTATGTTTGGAGGTCAAATGGAAGTTCAAGTGTTTTCTAAGACTCGTCTAGACCCTAAGCTTTTGCCTCTCCCGCAAAGAAAGCCTTAGTATCTTTTCTGCTGCCATCTTATGGAGCTCTCAATTTTGTTGGTTAAATTATTGATTTCAGATCTCTTTGTAGCTTTTGTTGAGACCAGATTGCTCCAACTACTTGTTTAAGGAAGCTTCTTTTTTTGGTTTCTTGTTATACTTCAGCAAATAATTCTTGCACTTGTCAGATGTTTGTGTCGTTAAAGTCTTATGAATGGATACTAGAATTCTGTACATCAGTGGAGTTTACCTATAAGTTGAACCTAAAACTTTTCCAAATTCTGGCTACGAAATATCTCATGGATGTACTGGTTAATTTGTGTTGTTAAACTCTTATGAATGGATATTAGAATTCTGTACATCAGTGGAATTTACCTATAAGTTGAAGCTAATACTTAGCCTAATTCTGGCTATGAAATCTCTCATGGATGTACTGGTTAATCAATTTTTAGCTATGAGAAAATTTTACAAATTTGTTACTAGAGAGCAAGTTTGTCTACGTATTGGAAAACTGTTGGGTTTTGTTACCCCTTATGCTGTTCTTTGGGTCAATGATGATCAGATCTTGTAATGAAGTCTCGTTGCTTTAATACTTGTATTTTTTTCAGTTCATCAATTTACTGAATCCAAGTAGAATTCAACTTTATGCAGATGGGAAATATAGTTGGATTGGATTATGCAGTTTTCTGTTAGCAAGACTTGCAATGTAATATTTGCTAGCATGGTAAACGAAGTATTTGTTCTCTTTAGATTATGTATGCTAGAACTTAAGCAGGACTAATGATATTTACTTCTGACTCTTCAAGATTTCGATTACTAAATTATAACTCCCTCTGTCACAAAATAAGTGACATAGTCAAACATCTTTAATAGAATTCATATCATAATTCAGTATTACTTATTAAACATGCATGATACATGCCGATAAAGGTAACAATAAAATACATGTGTCTTAAACGTCATGTCTATCACGAATCCACCGCTCATCTCATAATAACTTACATCAATCTTCTCAATTCCCCAAATAATAATTAGATTTGAATTATAGTTGAGATAATTAGATTTAAATTCATACTTGCCCAATAACTCAAATTTCAAAATGATCATTTTTTAAAAAGACAAATGCAACCCAAAATTTTGAAAAATTACAAATTGTGAAAAAAAAAAAAAAAAGAGTCATGAACGACGTCGTTTACATGAGTTCATCCTGAAAAAAAAATGAAAAATACAGTAAAAATGAAGTAAACAGTGGCTCTTTTTCCATTAATTAATATTTATAAATTATAAAGCCTCTGCAATTTTCCGCCTCTCCTCTTTGTCTCTTCCTCCATTTCAAAATTTTGAAGTTAGCTCTTCTACCAAATCACACTAAAAGTGGAGCTTCCCCAATTTTTTATTTTTTCTTCAATTGATTTAAATTTTTGTCGTTGAATTTTTGCATTATATATTCAAGTTAAACAATCAATTTCATTGCAATTTTTTAAAAATTCATTAAAAAAAAGACCCAAAAATGGAGATATCTACCGGCCCAATTTCTACATGTTCTAAAGAACACCAGAAAATTTATCAGCTATGGTTTCCTATTGCTGATTCAGGTAATTTTTTTTCATTAATTTCCCCAAATTTTTTATTTTTGAATTTGGATTTTTTTTTTTTTTTTTTTTTTTTTTTTTGGAATTATTGCTATGAATTTACTCTTTTTCTTTCTTTTTTTTTTTTTAAAAAAAAAATTCTGGGTAGATGGAGATGGTCGTATTACTGGAAATGATGCAACCAAGTTTTTTGCCATGTCTAATTTGTCTCGATCTGACCTTAATTTTACAAAAAGTTGTCGATTTGTTCAAATATACATTTCTAGGGTTCTTATTTCAGCTGAAGTTTTCAATTGAAATTTTATGTTTTATTTTTGGTGTAATGGGTATGTTGAGTTTTGATATTTGCCCACTTCTTTAATTTTAAGAAATGTAGTATTCTACTTCCTGTTTCATTTTGAGCATATCACTAGGAATTTGGTAACAATCTCTAACTATTTGGAATGTTATATTGTTTGTGTGTCGGATGAAAACAATGGGAACTTCAGCAGGCCCTTTCAAGATGCTGGAGCCGAGGGTATCTTGCACAGCAAAGAGCACATAAAACTGGCCTCGGGGGTTGTGCCGAGGAAGGCCCCTCCGATGCCGAAGTCAATACAGTGTTTTAGAGAGAGAGAACGTGTTGTGCAAGAGATTTTGTGCTTGAGGCTGATTGTGAATGAATGTGAAGTGAGGAGAAAGCTAACTTTTATACCTTCGCTTAAATGAGGGGTTTGGGA